ATATCAATAAAACTTGTCAAAAAAATAAAAAAAATAAAAAAATAAAAATGTATTATTGTAGGATTACGTGGATACTACTAGATCAAAATATTTTTAATTCAAATGCAAACACATATCAGATATCTGGATATTTATTCCGTTTGAAGAGCATATTTTGATACATATTTTGTTTGAAGAACATGATTTAGTATTATGTCCGGAAAGCATATTTTGGTGTTTCTATTGTTTGAAGAACGGTTTTGGTTTTAATATGTTTGAAGAGCATATTTTGGTTTTCATTTTGAAAGAGCATGTCTAAATATTCATTGTTTTTGAAGAGGATATTTCGGTATTAATTATGTCTGAAGAGTGTATGATTATATTTATTCTGTTTCATGAGCATGTCATGGTATTTGATATAAATTTTATTTCATTTCTTTTTGCAGTTACAGTGTTATATTTATCAATACATAATTGCTGAAAATTTGGAAAAAAGTTTTACAATTTATATCAACCCATTTCCATAAATAACAAGCATTGATCAACTATGGACTTTTGTTGAAGTGGAGTTCAATATCACATGTTCAGATCTATATAACCACACATATACCGAAATAGAAGTCCTTAATTGTTACAGTAAATTGGAACGTAAGCAACTCGTACAGAGAAAAGGACTTCATTTGGCAGAGAGTATTGTTAACGTTACAATACAAGTGACGTCACAAAGAGGATATTGACCTAACGTTTCTTAAACTGGAAATACCTAGTCAGTATCACAAATCACTGACCTCCAAGTGATAATGATTCAACTAATCAGGTTGTAGTGTCATCTAGTATATCAATAAATCGGCCCAAATTATCACAGATTTCAGTCCAGATAGCAGGTGATTAGGACGGCCACTATCTAACAAGCTCTCCTGATGTTGTATACTGTACGCTTGTGTGTATTATATTGTTTTAATAGTTATTGTGAAATATATTCATTGTTGTTTAATTTGATAACTCGAATTACTCGCGTTTATGAGATTGTTGTTATTTCTTATTCATATTTCATAACTAAGATGAATCGTTTAGTTTATATGTAAGATACTTACATGTATATATGTGATAAAAAGATGAAAGACCTTCTGGAGCCTCTTGTTTCCCATCATATTCGATGAAAATCCTTTTGTTTCGCAGCCTAGTCCGTATCTGTTGAAGTTTTTCATGTTTAATTCCAGTCCTGTCAATGTCTGATATTGACGATGTGGTGTCGGTTTTTCTACTGATTTCTTGCCATATATATAGTGGGTAATTTGTTGAACAGTATGGTCTTTGATTTACTTTGTCAAATTTTGCAATGGAGATAACTGTATTACAAAGCATAGGTGTTACATTTAAGCTAATACATGTCCTTCGACTTCGACTACCCGATCGTGAATTTTCCCTTTCTTGACAGTAATATCCCTGTATAACCTACCTACGGTGTTAACATATAACAGTTGATTCGGTACTAAAGAGCTTACTCTACTCCGAATATCAACACTTACTGTGATAGCTGTCGACTTCTGACAAATAGACTTATAACACACGGTTTCCAAAGATTATTGTTGCCCTCAGGATCTCACAGGGAAATATGCTATTTATTTGTGTGATTTGAATGTTGATAGTTTTTAATATGCCCATATGAGCGTCTTGTGGTTTTGTTGTCACTACCCGAGTTCTCGATGTGAGGACGTGACATTACTTGGATTCGACCTCTATTAACATGGCGGATTTCATCGATAAAGCAGAAGACGCTTACCCTTCCGGATTTTGCCCCAGTTTTATCGGTTTTGGGTTCGAATCGTGGTTGTATTATCTCTTGTTTTTCTTAACTCTTATACAAATCACCGGTATATATCAGGTAGCAGAACAATTATCATAATAGAAAAAGTGCTAATATCATATTACTTGTGGTGTTATAGTTATGTATATCTATAGCAATATATAAGTTCTAGAACCAAGTACAATTATTGTAATATGCCCAATATTTGTAACGATACACACACCATCTGTGGTTATATAGACACTTTTTATAGCGATTCCCACATTATTTGTCGTAATATGATATATTTATAATGATGCGCACATTATCTGTTATAATACACACAGTATTTGTAGTGATACACAAAATATTTGTGATGATACACAGAACATTTAATACACATATTATTTGTTGTAATACACACACTATTTGTGGTGATACACAGAACATTTGTAGTGAAAAACACCGTATCTATAGTAACACACTATTTGTGGTGATACACACATTATCTATAGTAACACACTATCTGTAGTGATACACACATTATCTATAGCAACACACTATTTGTAGTGATACACACATTATCTATAGTAACACACTATCTGTAGTGATACACACATTATCTATAGTAACACACTATTTGTAGTGATACACACATTATCTATAGTAACACACTATTTGTAGTGATACACACATTATCTATAGTAACACACTATTTGTAGTGATACACACATTATCTATAGTAACACACTATGTGTAGTGATACACACATTATCTATAGTAACACACTATGTGTAGTGATACACACATTATCTATAGTAACACACTATTTGTAGTGATACACACATTATCTATAGTAACACACTATTTGTAGTGATACACACATTATCTATAGTAACACACTATTTGTAGTGATACACACATTATCTATAGTAACACACTATTTGTAGTGATACACACATTATCTATAGTAACACACTATGTGTAGTGATACACACATTATCTATAGTAACACACTATTTGTAGTGATACACACATTATCTATAGTAACACACTATTTGTAGTGATACACACATTATCTATAGTAACACACTATTTGTAGTGATACACACATTATCTATAGTAACACACTATCTTTAGTGATACACACATTATAGTATTATGGTAGCACACAGTTACAGTAACGATACACACATTGCTGTTGGTTATAATAGACCACACACTTCATAACGTTACAAACACAAGATTTGAATTGTATGAGACACTTTCTGTATTTATATCATTTTTGTAGAAATATACATATTACTTATAGACACATACGTTATTATTTCTATTGTAAATGAAAAAAATGTATTACATGTTCATTGTATGTACCTAGTTATTTTATATGATATATTTGATGTTTAATATTGAATTATAAGGTTAACATATTAAATTTAGTACCGAGCTAGGCATGTTTAGCAAAGACACGTCTGAAGGCAGGCGGAATGTTCTTTGTGAATCATGGTTTGAGCTATTTTTGTATATTTACTGCCATCAACAGGAGCTTGTATTTCAACATGAACTTTTATTTAGTGATGTTCATTGTATATTTAGTGTAGCTGTTATACATAAATAAATTGTATATTTAGTTTATATGTAGATATTGTATATCAAGTGTATAAGGTGTACACTATATATTACATTGTAGATATAGACTACATGGTAGACATTGTTTGTGTATATTGCAACAGAAAAGCCACGTAAACAAAATGTTCGTTATTGACAGATGTTTTTATTAGTGATAAATTCAGTATTTATCCATCGCTATTTTTTTACGCCCAATAACAACACACATATACATCAAAGGAAATATATATATTTATTTTGTACTTTTCTCTAAAGTGTGTTTATAGTTAGAAATTTACCTCTGAGATGTTTTAGCTTTTTTTTTTGAAAACATGGTTTTCTAATAAATACTTGATAAAGGCCAAAAAATAAAAAATATAAAAAATATAAAAAACCTGCATAGCAGAAACAATCAACAAATATAAACATCTGAGACCACCACTCACAAACTGATACAATAGCATGTTTCGTATATGTGATTGAGCACAGTATCTATAGCGTTTCTGGGAAGTCTGTTTAATGGGAAAAGGAGTTACTGAACCGTTGCCTTGTAAGGCACCGTCGGCGTTATATGAAGGAAATAAGCCATTTGAGAAGATATAGATAAAAAAATGTATTTACTGTGAATGACCTAGATTTTCATAAAGTCGATAATGTAGCACTTAGTTGGTTATTGTAATTCTCTGGTTTCCCTGATTTGATTTTCAGGTATGTATAACGTCCCCTGTGGCAAACATTAATGAATAAAAAACACATTGAATAGAAAAGTTAATGTAACCTTTTTACGTGAAGCGGCAAAGCGTAACTACTAAATGTAATTTCTTAGACGCTAGGACAACCGTAAAGAAATAAATATATGTTATCAGTGGCGATATGAACCATAAAAAACTCTAACATAATAAATGAGTTATTTTCAAGAAGGAATGCTTGTGCACTTCTTAATGTTGCAATCAACCAATATAAACATCTGAGACCACCAATCACAAACTGATGCAATAGCATGTTTCGTATACGTGATTGATGGAATATTTTAGCAGAGTTTGGCACCCCTTAATGTATGTTCGGGGTTGCCACAGCGCACTCCGTCACTATTAATAATGGTTGATACAAACTATACCTCCACGTACAGTTCTTCCACGTGAATACATAAGATGGCACCCGATTAACGTAAAAATTTACAATGATACATCAACTGGGAATTGTTATGGTTGTCTAAGCCTGGTTTGTTTAACTATATAGCGTTGGTATTCATGCTGCAAAACAATCTATCACGTTAACGCCAATCTTTGATCCTCTGGTCAATTGCCCCCCATGATGAGACCAATGGTATATATAACGACCCTTTACGTGTGAAATCGACATTTGGGCAGTAGATATTTGTTCATTTCATCAGTAAGAAATCTGAGTCAAGAGATATTTAGTTTATTGATGAACATATAAATGGACAGATGTCCTTTCTTTAATAATGGTTTCATTACCAGAAGTGTTCTTATTTCCGAGGGGTAAAAGACATTCATATAACCTAAGGAGTCTTAAACTTTAAGAAACTATAATTCGATCATATATTGACCGATCCGTTTCAAATTATGCAAGTTGAAATAAAAACAAGAACATATAGAAAGTCTTTCCAGTGATATTTAATACACATGCGACTATATGTTTATAAGCAGTATTAAGATAAAAACATGGAAATAAGTGTTTAAAATAATAAAAAATAAACACAACTGAAATATTCCCCTGTCATTTGTCAGCATTCCATCAATTGAAGATAACACAATTTGTATGTAATTGTAATTAAAATGTTATCTTTCAAAAATAAAATCACTTCAAGCGGTTAATAACAAAAACATCTTTATAAAATTCGAATTTAGCAAACATTTCATATTAAAATACAGGATATGATACATGTATATTTATAATTCCGTTTGATCAAAGGTGCGGAAATTGTGTTTAATATGGAGTGAGAGCATTAAAAGGAACACAATAAATACACATAATATTATGGTTTCCTAAATGCCTCACATTCATAATACAATCTTGAATTTAAAAACTTCTTAAAATCCTTCAACAGTCTCTTAACAAATCACATGCAAACAGAGTAATGAATGGAATGAGTCGAGCCAATTTTGCATACAGTATATCTCTGATTCATTTAAAATATATCCGTTTATGACCCACATTCATCATCTACAAAGTGCTTGTGTATATTTTCCTGAGGGCATTCAGTATTATAAACACAACTTGAGCAATGTTCTGATCACAATAGTTTACATAGTATTGTAGACATATATTCAAGTATATAAAAAACGTCGGTCATCCCAATTTAATCTAATACTCACGGCAACTTCCCTAATAAATGCCAGGATTGGACATAAATATAGCTTAGAAGTATATGAAAAACCAATTATATTTCGCAGTCCTAATATTTTGGCCTCGTGACCGCGAAAGAAGTACCATCCATCTTGCCTTTTCTGAAGAGGATGAAATGACGTACAAAAACTCATGACGTCACATTGAATCGTTGATTCTGTTAGATACCGTGGACAATTAAATACTTTATATATAAACGAAATGCTAACTAAACAGTTTCCATTCTTCTGCTTCTATGAATGATTCAGCAACCATAAACATTCTAAATTAGTCAAGAGTATCCGATCACCGGTTTTCACTTAATTGTCCCGATTAAAGTTTTTGAATTATTTCCGTTACATATAATTCTTCATTTTGTACATCCGGATACTTCCGTTCAGACAATCTTCCTTTCTTCACCGGTTAAATGCATAGTCACAAAGTACGTGCGTCAAATTACTAAATAAGTATCATAATGTAATAATACATTCGCAGACCTTATGGGGGATACAAAATAGGCGACAGTAAAACTGTGGCGAAAATTTTCCGGTATACTGTACAATTGTCAACATCACAATCAGTTTCTTCTCAAGAAAAAAGTCATATAATACCATTAGTCACACTCAGCTGTGACTATACTTTTACACTTGGTAAATAAAGCACGTATAGGCATACACATAGGAGTAGTAATGATTATGCATACGTTTTGCCATCCTCGATATCCAGGGGTTATGCTCATTTTCGCTCTCTACACCCCTTGAATATGTCATAGCAAAATTGAAGGTTCGATGTGCGTTACCATGGTAATGAAACAAGAAGACTAGTTCGATCCTTTGATACACATCAAAAGAATCTCACGGTCACGTAGCAGAAAAAGGTGACAGGCTTTGAAGTCGGGCGTCTCTCCTTTGTAATCTTCAAAGGATAAGTATCAGCCTAGCGATTTGTCAGGTGTTTTTTTACCCGAGACCAATCAAACAGCTATATTCGTGCCTTCAATTTTGGTTTGACATATTCCAATCGAGGTTGACGTTTTGCACCAAATGATGTTTTTGAGACATGTTTAACCAGTTCACTTCAACGTTGTTGCGTATCTTGCAGAATTTTACAAATTACCATTTGAGCTTTCCTGGGACATACTTGTCCATGAGAGCACTATAGTATGTCTGTAGATTATCAACATCAGGCGGAATAGGTGTCTTGGTATAGAGGTCAAACTGGTTGAACTCATTGACCCAAGTCATCATCTCGTTGTCCTTGTTGTTGCTAAGGTAACTGTAAGCTCCACTAGTATGCCAAGGGTAAAAGGAATGGTATCTGATCATGTACAATGCCTCTTCCGGTAGGTAGCACTTGTTTAGGTCAGAGGTCAGCACACGGTACAAATATTCATCATGACCCCATGACATGGTCACGTTATTGAGACCGCAATTGTCCGTGTATATGCCCAGTTTGGAATTGAGTTTTTCATCCTGTAGGTCAGGGTTATCCCTGAAGCTTTCCCATCCAAAAACGATGCTGTCGTCTGGGAAACAGCCCACTGGGAATGTATCGCCAACCGTGGACCACTGGGGCTCCCCCCAATGGGCCATCACCTTTCCTGCATCGTGAATCAGTCCCACTACATGAAACCAGTCCTTGTCAGGATGTGCCTTCCGAATGGCTTCAGCAGTTTGGTAGGCATGTAGAGAGTTCGGAATATCTACATCTGGATCACTTTCATCCATAAAGGCATCGAGTGAATTAATTGCTTCCATCATTGTCATCTCTGCATGATTAAACTTGGTGTAGTGCTCTGTCTTGTCCCGCACGTACTGGAGGGTTTGATAGGTATGCATGTCCTTATAGGTATTAATGACCCGGGTAGGTGAGTTGTGGATATCAAACTCACGGTAGTTGTCTTTGTCCTTATACTCCGGTCGGTAGTCCGAGGGGTCAGAGAGCACCATCTTCTCATCGCTACCGTTGTCCGTCGACATCGTCGGTACGCGCTATGGAGTGATTATTACAAGAACACGAACGATACAAAATGGCGAGGTAGTCGGCTCCAACGAGAGATACAGGGCACTAAGCCAATAATCCGTTCACTGCCACATCTAGTCACAGATTGTGAACGTTCCTTGGTCATGTGAGATTTAACATTAAAAAAATATCCGTTCAGGCAGAAACTATATGACTACTGAACTGAGGTAGGTGTTTGTGATATGTAGTTCAGCGCCATTACACCCTATACACACGTCTGTTTGTAAACATTGATCGCGATTTGCATTGTAGCTCGTAACCTCAATAACTTCTATAGCCTGTTTCTTATAAGAAGATTGCCATTTGAAACGTGTATTCCGGCTCGTTGTACATTTGCAGCGTGAGGCTATACGTCTCGTTTAATGCGTTATTTAACACAACCTGTGACGCATACACCATTAACAACAATGTGCTCGCTATATACCTGTGATTTGAATAGTATGTTCAGTCTATACACTTTGTAATCTATTCTCGTTGTGTGTCTATTGAAGGGCTGCTATTGTAGGATTCTAACAGTACGTTACACAATTTATCTGAATTGTCTAAGAACGCAGTAATACACCGAGAGTAGCTAGGCTAAGTGGTAAAATAGTGTATTGAAATATATGTTATATATCTTAGCTTACCTATGTTACATTAAGAAACTGTCAGCGGTATCATATACAGATGTATCATTATCTGTATATCCATCTTGATAGCTTTAAACTTCAAATAATCTACATATTACCAATAGTATTATCCTTAAATATTATGCTTATTTCCATTTTTCTTGCAAACAACGCAAGTTGTACAAAACAGGATAAATAACAATATTGACGTTCATATAACACAACCAGGTTATATTTAACTCGGAGGAAATATTGTCGGTGACTAGAGCGAGTTTTAGCTTCTAGTGCACTGTCAACTTTATCTAACGAATGATCATTCCACAGTAAATATACCTAGAATGAAACAGGATACGAGATAGCTTCATTACATGATAACGATGTTTCAGTCAACTCAGACACGTTTTGTGCAACTTCTGATCCTAAATATGCGATAGTCTTTGGGCTTCGCCATCACATTGTAACCTAACAAGACAAAGGATAATATTCTGAAGTACGTATTCAGTTCGGCTTTAACACCGACAAGGGTCAAACACACTACAGTATGTAACACATAGTATCGCCCATCTGCATAAGAGTACGGAAGAGTATTAATGGCATAAGTGTAAAAAAAAAAACAATCTGCTCTGACGACATTAACCGGGCAATTAGGGGCTAGTTGTTATAGCTAATATGTTAGTATGTGGATTAGTTTTGGTCTGTTTGTTAGCTAATATGTTAGTATGTTAGCATTAACTATCTGCCCGGGCAGTTTAGGTCTGGTCGTTAGCTAATATGTTGGTTTGTTAGTATTAACTATCTGCCCGGGCAGTTTAGGTCTGGTTGTTTGCTAATATGTTAGTATTAACTATCTGCCCTGGCATTTTAGGGCTTGATGTTAGCTAATAAGTTAGTATTAACTATCTGCCCGGAACGTTTAGGTCTGGTTGTTATCTAATAGGTTAGTAATAACTGTCTGCCCGTGAAGTTTCGTCTGGTTGTTAGATAATATGTTATTATAACTATCTACCCGGGAAGTTTATGTCTGGTTGTTATCTAATAGGTTAGTATTCACAATTTGCCCGGGCAGTTTGGGGCTAGTTGTTAGCCATTATGTTAGTATGATAGTATCAACAATCTGCCCGGGCAGTTTGGGGCTAGCTGTTAGCCAATATGTTAGTATGTTAGTATCAGCAATCTGCCCGGGCAGTTTGAGGCTAGTTGTTGGGTAATATGTTAGTATGATAGTATCAACAATCTGCCTGGTCAGTTTGGGGCTAGTTGGTAGCCAATATGTTAGTATGATAGTATCAACAATCTGCCCGGGCGGTTTGGGGCTAGTTGTTAGCCAATTTGTTAGTATGATAGTATCAACAATCTGCCTTGTCAGTTTGGGGCTAGTTGTTAGCCAATATGTTAGTATGTTAGTATCAACAATCTGCCTGGTCAGTTTGGGGCTAGTTGATGGGTAATATGTTAGTATGATAGTATCAACAATCTGCCTGGTTAGTTTGGGGCTAGTTTTTAGCTAATATGTTAGCATGCTAGTATCAACAATCTGACCGGGCAGTTTGGGGGTTAGTTGTAAGTTGATAGGTTTGTATGTTAGTAGCAACAATCTGCCCGGGGAGTTTGGGGCTAGTTATTAGCCAATATGTTAGCATGTCAGTATCAACAATCTGACCGGGCAGTTTGGGGGTTAGTTGTAAGTTGATAGGTTTGTATGTTAGTATATTAACCGGGCAATTAGGGGCTAGTTGTTAGGAAATATGTTAGCATCTTAGGATCAACAATCTGCCCGGCCGTTTGGGGTTATTTGTTAGGTAATATGTTTGTATGTTAGAATCAACAATCTGCCCGGCAGTTTGGGGGTATTTGTTAGGTAATATGTTAGTATGATAGTATCATCAATCTGCCCGGGCAGTTCGGGGCTAGTTGTTGGGTTATATGTTATTATGTTGGAATCACCAATCTGCCCGGGCAGTGTGGGGCTAGTTGTTAGGAAGTATGTTAGCATGTTATTATCAACAATCAGCCCGGGCAGTTTGGGCTTGGTGTTAGGGAATGTGTTAGTATGTTAGTATCGACAATCTGCCTGGTCAGTTTGTGGCTAGTTGATGGGTAATATGTTAGCATGCTAGTATCAACAATCTGCCTTGTCAGTTTGGGGCTAGTTATTAGCCAATATGTTATTAAGTAGTATCAACAATCTGCCTGGTTAGTTTGGGGCTAGTTGATGGGTAATATGTTAGCATGCTAGTATCAACAATCTGACCGGGCAGTTTGGAGCTAGTTGTTAGGTAGTATGTTTGTATGTTAGAATCAACAATCTGCCCGGCCGTTTGGGGTTATTTGTTAGGTAATATGTTTGTATTTTAGTATCAACAATCAGCCCGGGCAGTTTGGTGCTTGTTGTTAGGTAATGTGTTTGTATGTTAGTAGCAACAATCTGCCCGGCAGTTTGGGGTTAGTTTTTAGAGTATGTTAGTATCAACGATCTGCCCGGGCAGTGTGGGGCTAGTTGTTAGGAAATATGTTAGCATCTTAGGATCAACAATCTGCCCGGCCGTTTGGGGTTATTTGTTAGGTAATATGTTAGTATGATAGTATCAACAATCTGACCGGGCAGTTTGGGGCTAGTTGTTGGGTAATATGTTAGTATGTTATTATCAACAATCTGTCTGGGCAGTTTGGGGTTAGTTTTTAGCTAATATGTTAGCATGTTAGTATCAACAATCTGCCCGGACAGTTTGGGGCTAGTTGGTAGGTAATGTGGTAGTATCAACAATCTGCCTGGTCAGTTTGGGGCTAGTTGATGGGTAATATGTTAGTATGTTAATATCAACAATCTGCCCGGGTAGTTTGGGGCTAGTTGTTAGGGAATATGTTAGAATGTTAGTATCAACAATCTTCCCGGGCAGTGTGGGGCTAGTTGTTAGGTAACGTGTTAGTATGTTAGTATCAGCAATCTGCCCGGGCAGTTTGTGGCTAGTTGTTAGGAAATATGTTAGCATGTTAGTATCAACAATCTGCCTGGTCAGTTTGGGGCTAGTTGATGGGTAATATGTTAGTATGTTATTATCATCAATCTGTCTGGGCAGTTTGGGATTAGTTTTTAGCTAATATGTTAGCATGTTAGTATCAACAATCTTCCCGGGCAGTTTGGGGCTAGTTTTTAGCTAATATGTTAGCATGTCAGTATCAACAATCTGCCCGTGCAGTTTGGGGCTAGTTGTCAGCCAATATGTTACCATGTTAGTATTAACAATCTGCCCGGGCAGTGTGGGGCTAGTTGTTAGCCAATTTGTTAGTATGTTAGTATCACCAATCTGCCCGGGCAGTTTGTGGCTAGTTGTTAGGAAATATGTTAGCATGTTAGTATCAACAATCTACCCGGGCAGTTTGGGGCTAGGTGTTAGGTAATATGTTAGTATGATAGTATCAACAATCTGCCTGGTCAGTTTGGGGCTAGTTGATGGGTAATATGTTAGTATGTTAATATCAACAATCTGCCCGGGCGGTTTGGGGCTAGTTGTTAGGGAATATGTTAGAATGTTAGTATCAACAATCTGCTTGGGCAGTTTGGGCTTGTTGTTAGGGAATGTGTTAGTATGTTAGTATCAGCAATCTGCCCGGGCAGTTTGTGGCTAGTTGTTAGGAAATATGTTAGCATGTTAGTATCAACAATCTGCCTGGGCAGTTTGGGGTTAGTTTTTAGCTAATATGTTAGTATGATAGTATCAACAATCTGCCTGGGCGGTTTGGGGCTAGTTGTTAGGGAATATGTTAGAATGTTAGTATCAACAATCTGCGGGTAATATGTTAGTATGTTAATATCAACAATTTCCCCGGGCAGTTTGGGGCTAGTTTTTAGCTAATATGTTAGTATGATAGTATCAAAAATCTGCCCGGGCAGTTTGAGGCTTGTTGTTAGGTAATATGTTAGGATGTTAGTATCAACAATCTTCCCGGGCAGTTTGGGGCTAGGTGTTAGGTAATATGTTAGTATGTTATTATCATCAATCTGTCTGGGCAGTTTGCGGTTAGTTTTTAGCTAATATGTTAGTATGTTAGTAGCAACAATCTGCCCGGCAGTTTGGGGATATTTGTTAGGTCATATGTTAGCATGCTAGTATCAACAATCTGCCCGGACAGTTTGGGGCTAGTTGGTAGGTAATGTGGTAGTATCAACAATCTGCCCGTGCAGTTTGGGGCTAGTTGTCAGCCAATATGTTACCATGTTAGATGTTAGTATGTTAGTATCAACGATCTGCCCGGGCAGTTTGGTGCTAGTTGTTAGGTAATATGTTTTTATGTTAGTATCAACAATCTGCGGGTAATATGTTAGTATGTTATTATCATCAATCTGTCTGGGCAGTTTGCGGTTAGTTTTTAGCTAATATGTTAGTATGTTAGTATCACCAATCTGCCCGGGCAGTTTGTGGCTAGTTGTTAGGAAATATGTTAGCATGTTAGTATCAACAATCTACCCGGGCAGTTTGGGGCTAGGTGTTAGGTAATATGTTAGTATGTTATTATCATCAATCTGTCTGGGCAGTTTGCGGTTAGTTTTTAGCTAATATGTTAGTATGATAGTATCAACAATCTGCCCGTGCAGTTTGGGGCTAGTTGTCAGCCAATATGTTACCATGTTAGTATCAACAATCTACCCGGGCAGTTTGGGGCTAGGTGTTAGGTAATATGTTAGTATGTTAGTATCACCAATCTGCCCGGGCAGTTTGGGCTTGTTGTTAGTTAATGTGTTAGTATGTTAGTATCAGCAATCTGCCCGGGCAGTTTGGGGCTAGTTGTTAGCCAATATGTTTGTTTGTTAGTATGAACAATCTGCCCGGGCAGTTTGGGGCTAGTTGTTAGCCAATATGTTACCATGTTAGTATCAACAATCTGCCCGGGCAGTTTGGGGCTAGTTGTTAGCCAATATGTTAGTTTGTTTGAATTGGGCATTATCAACAGTGTTTCCTGGCCTTTTTTTCCTTGCATTTTACGGCATGCTTTCCTGTGATAATATTTCTTACGGTCATATCTTGCCATCGAGTTTTGGTTCTAATCGCAGTTTGACATTTCGGTATTATCTTCCTCTTTTAGTTCTTTTTATTCTACATTATTATGGTATTTATAGACAAGCTATCTTTATAAGCAGAATTTCTTTTTTTAAGTCATACTGTCCTTTGGAAAAAATCATCTATACTGTACGTAGACTGTCAGTCCGCAAACCTAATTACTTACTATCTCGAGTTGTTGTTTTACGTCAAAAGGTTGTTGACTGCAGATGAACTATCGGTCACCAAGTCAGAACGCTATCGTATAGCTGGGATGTATTATTGTGCAGTTTAAATGGGATTATAATTACGAAAATAAAAATTGAAATGGTTTGATAGGCGCCTTTCCCCTAAGGCAGTATATCCACATATATTTCTGAAAACTTTAAATATTCATTTTTTGAAGTATGTAACATGTTATCAATATTGAATTACTACAGTACATTTATACTATTGAAAGAAACACTTCATCAAAAGCAAGAAATATAATGAAATGCTTGCTAACGGAAATATCTAGAAACGCAGCATATATGCATGCACCGATCCTAGACTGATTAGTAAACTTGAAACTCGTCACTTATTTGTTAATTTACCATTATTTATTTATTTCATCCAGCTGTAGCATACATATATAATATTATTCATATGTATTTTGCTAACTTTAAACTTCAAATTATTCGTAAATGTATTATTATACCCTAAACATTGGTATAGATGAAAATAATAGTCTGTCCTGGCACTTTACCATATCGGCTCAAACAGATTAACAATTTAACTGCCCGAGTTTATGGCAGATTGTTTATATATGCAGGTAGAATATCAATCTGCTCAGACAGCTTGGTGTTTTTCAATGTTGGTCCAAAGTACGGTAAAGCTTCCGTTAAACCATATGTAATATATTAGAAGGCGGTAAGGATAGATAAAGAAGGTTTAACGACTGACTTAAAAAGGCAGCTTTCAACCTTATGAATCTACAAATGTAAACATGTAAATTGGTAAAATATTTCCAACCTCCCTACATGTGTAAATACACCTAAGGGAAGACAGCAGGGCGGTCTTTTGGATCACCATCATCTAAAAACGCTGGCAAGGCAAATGTGGTAGTCCGAGTTTTCTCTGTCTCTGACGGAAATGATTCAGAGCACATTAATAATTTATATCTCTCTGATGGTCGTCAAGATTTTGCTCAAGAACGAAACTCACAGCATACAAAAGAGTTCAGTAAGTAAAGAGATACAATTTAGCCGTTTACTCCTACTTTGAATCTTCTGTGCTTTGTGTTCAGTACCAAACTGAATGGGGCAATTAGATATTTTGATAGAAATTATCTTTAAAAGTATTTCTTTCTCTTTAAAAAACACTTTCTCAATATCGTTAAAATTGTACATTTTAGTTACTAGGAATTTAAAAGTGGAAATGGGACAGGTTTTTGGACGATAGAAAAGTACCAGTACAAAAATGTATAGTTATTCAAAATGACAACTTTTAATTTTAATTATATGATGCTTTCCCCGCCCTGTTGACATTGCTGACATCTGGAGCACGGCATTGTCTCGTATGATATCATAGCTCCAGAATATTGCCATATGCAGGCTGTTGTGAAAGAACTCATGTTCACCTATTTCGAATATGACAAATAGGTTTATTATAGTTATGCTCATTATTGAAGTATTTTAACACAAAAGAAGAAATATTTTTTTAACAAATATTTTATTAATTTTAATAAGATTTTTAACCTTGTAACCTTGAACCATATTAAAAACTAGTACCTGCACGAGGCAAAATAAAGATGCGAAAAAAGATGTGATGAAAAGATTTTATTTACCATACATATAAATCTGGAGGGGCCAGTACACAACAATTAACAAAGTAAATAAAGATATATGAAGAAACCAAAGAAGGTGAACAAAGCCAGGCCAAAAATTCTCAAAACAAATTGAAAAAAAAAATTATCTATTAAAACTTGAATAATTATGATGTACATCCATTAATAAATTTTAATGCTTTTAACTATAAACCAATATATACATGTTATGTTAATGAAAAAGGAAATTGGCAAAATCATACAGGGAAATGTTTCGAAGGGTAGTTTTATTTGGTAGGAGCAATGGTTTAAAAACCAACATGATCAGTCAACTAACTAAACAGGAAATGTTTACCACACAAAATCCGAACGTTAGAAGCAGCATGTTCCATCAAATCAAATGTTACAAAACAGAATGCCTACCATACTTTACCACAGACCAGTCTTATGATGTATACTGTACTGACTGTAATACAGACTCTGGAGTTTTAAATCAACTGATCATTGGTTGGTGTAAGGCTTAATTAGCTTTATCAGAAATATGGTGAAGGTGAATTGTTATGTAGAATTAACAAATAGTTGTCCTCATATAACAATGACAAAAAATATTTAAATGAGTCATACAATTTCCAGAATCATATGGCACTGTTTATAAAACGGATATTTTCCCTTCGTGTCCGTCTATTAATGTTGATATAGGTATTCATTATAGCAGCATTTGTATTAAACCGCCACCCATGTATTATCTTACCAGTAATTGCAGTTTTACTGTGACACTAACACCAAACCAATTAAAAAGGTGATAAAAATCAGAAGATAATAAATGGGATATAATATATATTTAAATGTCTGTAAAAATACATTTTTTTTAAACTCATTCACCCCTGAAAACACATTTGAACTCTTCCAATTCAATGTCTGGAATAGTTCATTCTGAAATTTCAGGGGTAAATGACCTAGGTTATGCTCCAGTTAAATGATCAAAGTTTACTTCTGTGTAATATAGACGGAAAAACTCAATTGGATGGTAATACTTTTGAAGTTTGCCATGCATAGGGTTTGCCAAGTGTTTAACTTCAAAAAAAATATTTCTGAAAATGTCCAAGTAAGTTTTTGTCCACTCTACAATAGATACACGTACCCCGATAACCCTCAGTACACTTACCAAACTATGTGGATTCTATTAAAAGTTGAAAATAAGACTGATTTCTATTCCTTAAATTGAATGTTAAATACAAAATATTAATGTTACAAGCGAATTAAAAACTTGTTTACAATTATGAAAGTGATGAATACAAAAATTCAAGAGCTAGAAATCTCAAAATTGTATAGCTACACAATTTTCTGAATAACACTTAATATTGAACTTTATGTGTGGTGTCCAATAAGGTATTGAAGGATATGAATTAGATATAGGTACAAATAGAAGTTATCAAACTCATGTGCTAAAATGTACTTTCAAATACGTTTTCTTTTTGAAAACTATTTTTTTTAAGTAAAAAAAAAATTAAAAAAATTAAAATGAATTTGTGCACTGACATGCATGCTATCAGACTCGTCATCATAAAAGACATGGAGAATATCAGAAAATGAATACTGAATTATTTGTTGAATTGTTTCTGGTTTAATTGAGCATTCTCCAAACTTCAAAACACAGTACAATGCAAACTATTTGACAATAAATAAGCAATAAATCAAACAAATTTCACCACTGATATCTATATGTTAAATATTCTATCAACAAAAAGCATTAGCTTGTGATTGTAATGTTATTTAAAAAAAATCATACTCTATAACATCATGACGATTCCAACAAATTTAGTGTAGTCTTGCATTATAAAAAAATCAAAAGCCTTCATTCTTCATTTTCAAAGATTATGTTTACAATTAACAGTTATGTTTTTTCTAGGCGAGATAGGTTGAAATTTCCCCATTATTCATGTAACCTTATTAATTTTTGTTATTGAATGAAACATAGAAATTCAACATAAACTGAGAGAACAAACAGGGAAAATATGGAGTTAGAGGCTTTTACGTGACGGTTTGATAATACAAGCACAAAAAACAAGCCTTAATAATGTCAAAGTTCTCTTTTCTCCAAAACAATATTTTCACTAAATATATATAATAATACAGTTCAGTTCCGTAATACTTCTTGTATGCTATCCATAATCCTGTATTTCGGGAATGTAGAACTTTCCTTCAAGTGTTTTTGGAGTTGTCATCTCAGTAACTGCCATCTGCCAAACCTCATCAATTCTCCATCTCTTAATTCTTTTCCTTCTTCTTGTCCTATGGGTAAAACTCTGACAGTTAAAATGATTGTATAGTGAAAATGAAATCAAACATTAACCTAGAATATTTTCAAAAATATCGAAAATTAAAAATACATTTACAGATACCAAGATTCAAAATGGTCATCTGAAGATCAATAACACAGATATAGTAGTAAATTTTCAGATACATCTCATAAATTATATTTTCAAAAATGGCATTAATAAATAATTAACTTTGTCAGGCTTTAAACAACCAGAACCAGACCCCAGATTTTAATATCCAGTAATACAGACTGTAAAAAACAACAATTATTTACGAAGTGTTCATCTTTGCTGTTTTTAAACCTTTTCAATAAAATTGTTTTTGATGTCTAGAATAGATACAAACTTTTCCTTATTTCAGATACATGAATATATATAGAGGATATTTAATGGTGTCTTCAGTAATAAAAAATATATTTCACGAGTGTGGCTAATATTTTTACGAGTGCGCAGCATGAGTAAAAAATTTCAAAATATTAGCGACACGAGTGAAATATATTTGTCATTACTGAAGACACCATTGAATTTTCTATTTACTACATTTTTAAAGCATAAAACATGAAAAATCTAATGCATTAAAAAAAGGGCAGGAATCAGAAACGTGATTATAAGCGCCATATTATAATGACTGACTTCACGTCTGACAACAAGGCTGCGCGCTTTCCTGAGTGGCATTCTCAACGCAATTTCAACGTTTTCTACTATTTTCTGGTATGATTGCTTATTAAAATGTAGTTACTGCTATATATATGTAAATACTTAAGTGTGTGTACCAAACACTTGCCATGCATAACAACCACTTATTCTAACGTCGCCTCATGTGAATCTGTGACAAAATATCGTTGCCTTTGAATGCAGCGAATAGAAGATACTGTTATGATTGGTCAATACTAAAAAGTGATATTTTCACACTGTGAAAATATCTCTTTTGATATTTGTCACAGTGTGAAAGACATCAATTTTATCAAGTTGATAGAGATTTCACTGGCAAAAATGTAATAAAAAGTATTTATTTTGAAGTTATAGCAAAAATGGCATGCCAGATTGGAAAAGTCATCGTCACATTTACAAGAGGAAAACCATTGACATACCTTGTTGGACAGAATGATCAGGAGACGACGGAAGATTTGGATGAAGTCCAAGAACAAATCCACACTGTGCCTGAAACACAAAGTTAACAAAACACTGATGTATTGGCTCGACTCAACGATGATTCAGATATATTTCTAGAGAAAATTGATCACTAACAGAAATTTCAACCTTACTCAAACAAGGACTTCCAAAATTCATCACTGTCAAAAGTATCAACTTCACTCCAACAAAGATTCTGAGGAATTTGTATTTTTCATTTCCACCAAAAGTATCACCCTTTTTCTTTTAAACTAATATTCAGAGATTTTAGTAGAATTAGTCAAGAGTCAAAAGTATTAGCCAAACTCTTGCAATGATTCAGAAATACATCTAGAATACACTACTTTATCAAGTAGCAATGTCCTATTTATTGACACCAACAATGATTTGGAGACAGTTCTAGACCTTGACATATAAACTATATTCATTAGGTTAATAAAAATCCAAATAACATCAATACTGCTGTATTTTATAAGTATTGTGAAAATTTATTGATCCTGAAAGAAATAATAATGCATCATTCTGGATTCTGTTAATAATGACATGGAAATGATCAATTTAATCAGTTGGTATGTACATTTTAAATTATACATACGGTAAGTTTACCTGTAGTGTTCAGTTATGTGATCAGTATAGTTTTTCATGCTTTTATCAATATTTTGGCTTCCTATAGCTATCTAACCCTACTTTTGACTGAACCTTAAAATCTTCTCCATTTTTTACTGACATCAGCGATCACATACCAGATGTAGTCATCATCCCCCATTCGCTTCTTCTCAACGATCATCTGGGTATCGTACAGCACAAAGGCACAAAAGATAAACAGACCAGCATAGAGCTGAACCTGGAAATCAATGAAAGTCAGGTCAAGTTGGATTAGATATAGAGCCTGAGAAATCAACAAAATGTTGTGTATCTCATTTAAAAGCATAGAAATTTACATTACATATCCAAGGCAAAATCTGTCATCTTTACGGTTTTTTTACAATGGTGTTGCAAGTACCACATGTAAAGGATAGAATTAAGACTTAACAAACATGAAATACTAAGTGTTTTTTTTATTCAGTTTACCAGAAGCCTACAACTACCGTATAAAATACCCGGTATATAGATACTTCAGAACTCCAACAGTGATCCTCTTACCTCCCAGATTAGTCTCGACCCAATGAAAATGTTTAGGAGTCCAGCCAGACACAACCAGCTCAATGCACTCAACAGGAATCCTGAAAATTAACCATATCATTTTAAACTCATATATAGTCAATATGCAACAAACAATGAAAACCACTTGTTTTACACATAGTGAATCTTACTAGTCATACGGCTAGTTTTCTAGTCATTCAAAACAAGATTCCTTCAATACTGCAAATAAGTGATACACAGACATTGTATAGTAGTAACTAAATCCCTTTTTTGCATCTAATAACAAAACTGATCACTTCATAAACCTTGCTACATCTAGTCTGCTTCATCGTTAGTGAAACAATCAGTATGATGTTGATCACTCTATAATGTCATTAAATAAAATGGTAAGAAGTGACACAATTTGTCACTACATTTCATCATGTTGATTAAACTATTGTGAATTAATTTTCAAATTTAGAACATAAATTGTTCCTGTCATTTCTTAAATGACTGAAAGTAACAAATTTAGGTGGATACACTGATTAAACAGCATTTACTCGATGTGGGAAAGAAAGATGTATAGCAAGTTTGGTAATTTGAGAAGAAATATCAGCCTATTACTGATAAAAAAAAATCTGTTAATGAGTACAGGAAACTGAAATTAGAAAAGCAACTTAACATGTTCGTTTGTTATACTGTGGCCAAAAATGCAAAGTTGTATAATAAATCTAGTTTTATCACTTTGTTTATAAATAAAAACACAATTAAAACACAGAGCCTTTGAACAGGTGTGGACTGACCCTGGAGCTACAGACTGTACTTACCTCCCATGTACAGGAAGGTACGGTTGGTATTGAACAGTGCTGCCAGTGAAAAGCTAATGAAGATGACTGAAGTCCCCATGAGTGCTGTCACAATGATGCTGGAAAATCAAAAGTTACCCTTAAAATGGACAAGACTAGACAATTACAATAATTTTGTACACATCACTGCAGATTATTACAGGAAAGACCTATTAAATTATTTCATGAGCTAGTCTTTCTTTAAAGATCCGGGTTCCCTGCCCCACTACTCTGTGAGTTTTCCTTTATACAGTAATCTCCCCTTGACTTCCGCTTAGATGTATCTGTAGCACCGATTGCCCGGACACTTTCGTTGCCAAGGTAGCTCAATCGGTTAAATAGTAATATATCCATCTGAAGTCAGGGGTTCGAATCCCAGTCTAGACCTGGCACTGAATGTTTACACTCAACACTATTGTTGTTGATGTTTAGTTTGTTTTATCTTCATTCATTAATTTCTGACAAAAATCCAGCGAAGAAAGGTTTTCATTCCAGAAAGGATTTATCAAAGCTATATAGTGATGCTGACAAAAACAGTTACCATATAAATTTACAGTTTTTGGCGGTGGTATGTTGATCTTTCAGATTTATTTCTAACTGTATGAGTTACTTCCCTTTTAACAGCATATTAAGTTACAAGTCTAAATGGCATGTTCCACAAAAGTGTAGGAATCAAAATAAACATTAACAAACTCTGAATCAAAGGTATCTATACAGAAAAAATGTTTCAAAGGGTTTAAATAATGGGTCGGGGATTGATGTCCCTCTAATTACTAGTCTACACACTCGCACTTCACTCACCTTGGGTCAACCGTGATGACGTAGTCCAGGAGAGGTCCAAGTGACATTCCTGAAATTAGAACAATCTATGTACATTTGTAATATATATATATATATTATAAAAAGAAAAATTCTCAACAACGAGTCTTTAGTACTTTCATCTCTTCTAGGAGATTCTTCAGACTAGCGCATTCAGTGATAAGCACTGGTTTAGTCATATATATATATATACATGTACAGCATGCAGATTGTGTATCTGAGTTGAGACAAGTAGTTCCAACATTTCTTCCATAAATGTACCCTCTTGAAAATTATACTGTTACAATTACAAAGTAAAGATATTTTTCATCACTTTTAACATTACAAATGAAGAGGGAACCAAATATAAGGTATCAGATTATATCTCTCACTAAAATTACGTATTTACCAAAGTTTAGAAATGAGAAAACCTAACCAGTGTAGACAGGCAAAGGGTAGTGCTACTAAATATTTGACCGCATTATCATATTCATTAAACAAGTTCTTATTTTCATTCTTACTAAACAAGCATGATGAGTGGGTCATCCCCCTAATAAAATAAGCACACTCAACGAACATTCACACTTACCAAATAAGCATGCATATATTTTTCAATGATCATTCTCCCTAATTAGCTGACTTACCCACAGCATGTTCAATGAATGTTCACACCTGACTAATATACCCTTAAGACCAAACAAAATATGTGTTTTTCCTGTTTCCCTACCGACTCTTGATTATTGTGCCAACCCTCATAGGCATTCAGTGATAAACACTGGTTTAGTCAGAACTCCTGCTCTATATATAAAAATAATTGCCTATACATGTACATACATGTAGCTACAGTACCTACCGACGCTACTTTTTTCCAAGCAGAAGCAGGGGGCATGCACCCTTAATGGAGAAGAATGTTCTATTTCAGAGCATTTAACTTAAATCCAGGATCATTTTCAATGAGTGTTCAGTCTTAACAAATATTTATATATAACCATTTTGAATGAGAATTTGTTCTTCTCCGAGACACATGTCCAATGTTCAATATCGAGTAACCATTACCTGTGAAGAATGTGAAGCCAGCAAAGATACCCAGTCTCTTGGTCTCAGTCTCCTTAGAGTGATGGGTAGAGGCAAGCCAAATCATCAGGCCCAGTGAGGCAAGCATGGTCAGTATACCAGCCTAAAACACATCAACATTTGATGATAAATTGATATAAAGCCCATACAACTAACCTGACATACCAGTAAATTTATAATAAATAGGTAGATGACCAGGATTTGTTTTTCTGGTTATGCCATACGTAACTAAAATACTGTTAAATTCTATAATGTATCGGGTAGAGGCGACTATTGCGTTTATTTTTTATTATTGCTATACTATTGCTATTGGGGGAAAACACTATTACAACAGTATTGCAATAGTATTGGATACTTCACTAACCTAAGTTTTTTTTCTGTCAATTCTCTGTTGGCTTGTTGGTATAAGGTCATTTTTTTGGTCTTAAATTATTTAATTTAGTTGCCACACTGTCTACTAGCGTGTTTATCAAACGTTCCCTTAAAAATAAGTATAGAGTACATGTATACTGTAACATTCATGCAATTAAAACACACACATGACTGAGAGTAAAATCTGATAGTGACAACCGCGCTTGACTCCTCGTGTTAGTGCAGCCGAGTGCGTATTAATGATAGTGACTGAATTATCAGTACTCATAATCGCATGGTGTGAGTGAAAACCGTACACATAAGTGTTAGTAGTTTTGAAACGATCAATTGTTTAGCATACTATCGATGATTATTATCAAGTTAATGAAGTTGTCATTGATTAATCAAACTGAGAGGTGCACAATCACAATCTATCGACAGCATGATATATCATTTCACCACTGGTATCAGGTATCCAGATACAATGTATGACCAGAAAACAGGAGGCTTACAGGCATTACAATCACCTGGGGGAACTATGTGTAGTACAGGTCAGTTGTGGCAATCCTAAAGCAATCCAGTGGTGACAATTATCACCAGCTCAGTGTAGGGGATTAAGTCTGGCTCGTGTTTCTTCTCGGGTGTTTTAATTCATCAATATCCACAATGCCAAGGACATAACTGTCAGGGATTAAGTTAATACAGAAACAGGTGTTTTGCTTAAGCCATTTCCTCCAAAATTGGATATTAATTTTGATTTACTTTTTAGCAGTAGCGATGGGCAAACTGTTGAACATCATCATTGATAATTGGTTAGTAGTCGGAGGTAGTAAATTTAAACTAATTGATGATCGATTGCATAATCGGTTTATCATTCTATGGGACTGAATACCCAAGTAAAGAAAGAACGTTAATATTACATCAATAGGCAGAACGTTAACCCTGGTCGCCTTTTACCAAAGCGACTGGGGTTGGATTCCCTGATCGGATGTGAAAAGGTATGGGGTCACCTGCCCAACCATGTGTTTTTTTTCCAGATATTCTGGTTTTCTCCCACAATAAAACATCACCCACACTAACATCTGAGCCAACAAGAGTGATTAATATAAGTTGAAATAACTTGTTTCATATTTGTTGTCAAATAAACAAAGTGTATTTAATAGACAGTTGTTGATTACACATTATGTTCCAATATGTTTCATATGATAAAAATCAACACTGAATGACTTTCAATGTATACTTCACATCGTGTATTTTGACACTTTGATTTCAATAATGAACTGATTTACCGTGCATTATATAATTTGTAATTGATAATTGGAATCAGAAAGGGCAAATCAATCAATTTCTAATTATTATCAATTGTCAGCCCATCACTATATATATTGCTATTTAGCAGCTAAGTTTTAGTAATGAATCTGTCTGTTTATGACTCCTGAGGGTGTGGTTAATCAAATGGCACAGCCACACCTTCTGATAGACTGATACATAGTTTGGTATTTTTTGCTTAATCTGTTCAAAACAATTCTATTGACAACACATATATAATACAAACATGTAAGTAGTATAATTAAATCAGATGTTAGTACAGTATTAACAAAAGAATCAGACAGCAGGCTAAGCCTATATCAGTCTTCTTCTATTCCGGTAGTGATTAGATATATAGCATGTTGTTAGTCTTCCTTCTCTCAAATGTACACCTATAGCACCCACACTAGCTCATGTGTAATGCTTGGTACACGCATTGATCAATTATTATGAGTGACTTGACAACCGATTTTGTTCAAACTTGAAAGCAAGATGAAGATGTACACTTCAGACAAATCACAGGGGGCTATCTTATGTAACATATCTGTTTGTGTTTTTATCACATGGTTTTGGCTGTGCTGTACCTGGAGCCATGCTGTGTAAAGGTGAACATAGGCCCCCGCGAAGGCGGTGAACATGGAGATGGAAAGGCAGCCATACACCCTCTTCAGATGGTCCTGAACATGATTCTCCCTGAAACACACAGAAAATAGACTGCCATTTTCACATACATCACAATCAGATATTAATTGTCATGTTGAATAGTGGAATTTGCTCATAGACTAGTAAAAATTGGAAACTTCTAGTTCAAGTGTCTCTGTGACTAGTGGAAATTTAAATTAGTTGAAGCCCTAATATCAGAAACTAAAAGTGGCCAGTATATACCACATAGTTCCGCTGTTTGAGGATATACAGATTTTCTGTTTATTACAAATACACTGAATGTGAATATATTTTTTAACACTCGCATTGATTAATGTATGTAATTTTTTTCTAGTAGGTCAGCTATAGAGCAATTTAAGTTTTATATTAATGTGATAAATTTTAAAATTCTTCTACCACATTGCAATTGTTGAATGTCTATTTTCAAATCACAAAATAAATCCCATGATGTTGATAAATTATGTAATGAAAGTCATTTTTATCAATGCCTGCTTGGTCAGAAAATATGAACCATATGGCATATACCGGTTCAAAGCACCTAAATAAATTATTTTACATTAAAGATAGGACACAATTTCTGCATCAATTATATGTGAGCTTAAACTACTATACATATATCATGTACTGAATGCCTTCTTATCACCAGTCCTTATCAGTGTTCTTTTTGACAATATTATATATACCAGTCTATATTTATAAGATTGTCATCTGTAATCCCTGTGAATATAGCCATGAATTGTATTGACTGACTATACTATCTTATCAAACCATCATCCATGATGCATGAATCATTGTCATCAATGCAATAAATTGCATTCATTGTTGTTTCTTCACTTTATAATTCAGAGATCTTTAATTTTGTATCACCAGGAAAATTACCACTTGGAAATTCTGTCAATCAGAATAAGTTTATTCCTAACTATATGCACTATTTTTTTCAGATATTTCACAATAGGGAATTCTTGGATGTTAAATCAGATTTTTTCTTTCTTTTATCTGGAATGTTTCCTTTTGTGGCGGAACTGGACTGGGTCGATCGTCGGCGACCAGATCTAGATAGCTCAATTGGAATTGGTAGAGCATCCGTCTAGAATGCTGAGGGCCCCGTTTTGAACCCCGGTCTGGCCATTGCATTTCTCTTTCTCCTGTTACAAAATTGGCGAGCTTGCAAACCCTTGTCTCATACAATGCTTAGCAAGAGGATATCAGAATCTGTGTTGAAATAGTGTTTCCCCGAAGACGTAGAAAAAGGAGGGAGGAAAGTAGTGGAATTGGACTTGGTCGATTGTCAGCGACCAGATAGCTCTTTGAAAGTACTTTGAAAGGGTCAAAAGTATACTGATCATGGATGAAACAGTTAACTTTACTCATTTATTTATAATTTTCAATATCGATCCTGCAAACTGAAAGAGATTTCATTGCGGCCTGTATGGTGGGAGGTTTAAAAGAGATATTGGGAGATAAAAGGAACATTTTCCATTTCGAATGAACCCAGAAAAACACTCTTTACTGAAAGTATATATACAGAGGTGAGAGAATGTTGACTGGGATGGCAGCTTATCATATATAAAGGCTAAGGTTGGGGAGGAATGTGTCCTATCCAGGTCTGGTTTAGTGTACTGTTGTATAGCTTGCATCACTTGAACTTGTTACATAATGTGACAAGGAGATGTAATTGTGTGTTTTTTCATAATGTTTTGATAGTCAGCTTTAACTACCTTCAGTTGTAAATGTTATACATATATTTTATAATGGCCTTCTTGTCCCGTTTTAACGCTATCTTGGAATTTACAGACACAATAGTGAGTATCCCCTTGAACCTGGATTGCTCATATATGACTGGACATTATTGAACAGTTACACCACCGTTTTGCCCTAGTTTCCTCTGGCCCGACAAGATTTAGACATTTTGACAGATATATCTACAGCCGGTGTCTAACCTCTATTAAGAATAAGAGCCGATACTGCACATTGTCGGAATATGTTTTTGAAATTACTCAAGCAGGAACTAGAATCGTCATAGTTGACTGCTTGTAGATATACATGTAATTTAAAGCTAAATATAGCGCCACGTACAAATCATGAAATATCCTTTAGTCCTAGAAACAGATTCGTCGTTGGTTAACCAACCAAAACCACATGGCAACCTATTGTCTGTCGTTAACAATTAATAATTCATTTATAAACTAAGATAATTTACCTCACACTATGCTCGCATAAGGACGATTATTGAAATGTTTCTTTCGATTTCAGAGTGCAAAACAGGACATACCGAATTCTGACAGTAGGCTAGCTAGGCCAATATGAATATGCATGACGAAATGCTAATTACAAGCTTAACGTTGGAACTATATCATTGGCATTGAAAATAATTCATTTCTTAAAACAAATACTTACAAGTTATCAAATTTGAATAACTGTGGTGGAGGAAATTGGTTTCTTTCTGAGTGTCGGTTCATTTTTTCTGCTTTTGACGCAACTGTTCGCTTCCGTTTCAAGTAGTCGTCGTCACAAAGCCGCTTATGTTAATGATAAAAATATACGCAATTTAAACACAAGGAAATAAAGAAAATAATTGTTATTAAAATCCTCGAGAACAAATAGTAAATTTGTTTGAAAAATAGTTATAATGCTTACTGAATCTAAGTTACCACTATATGTCCCAACATTTATGTACGATCGCTTATGTAGTCAAAAAAACATCGCGACCTTTGACCTTATAATCAATGCGACGTGTACATCATGATCTGGAACAGCCTGGAAATATTATGCAGATTACTAGATTACGCGTGTTTTGCTTACACGGTGAATATCAAGTTTGCAAAATAATTATGTTAATAATACGCGTGTACTTGTCCCCTCCCCAGCTAAAATAGCTCGCACATGAGTACAGGTACATACATATGTTGCCCACAAGACTTCGATGGCAGTTGCCATTTCGTGATTTTTCAAACTTAATTACGAGTGCTGACTGTAATGCTCATGCTTATAGCTTTAGGGATCATCACGGAATTAGGTTAGCACAGGGATGTGTAGTGGATTAAGCCTTGAAGCCTCCATCACATGCTAAACATTCGCCAGCTTTTACCTTTTATCTGTACCATGCACAACAAAAAACACCAAAAAAACACCAACTAATCACTGTAAACACGGACTTAGATAATCTAATTCCGTGCTGTAAATAACCCATTTTTTCACGCCCCTATGATAGGACCCCGAGGGCATAATCATCATAATTTGATGGAACCCCTGTAACCTAAAGAAGAAGATAGCAAAATCACGGACTTAGATAGATTGAAGCGGAGGTTTCCCCGTCAAATCAGGTAGTTTATATCGCGTTTTCTCTCAACATCAAAGTGCACCAGACATATTTCATATGGCTTTCCCTCTAATATAATTCCGTAGAAAAATTAAAGAAATATATAAACAAAGGATCAATTCTAAATGTGTATTTCTTTGATTGATATTTGTATAATTATGATTTATATATTTAATTTTAGATTGTTGAATTGCCAATTAAATTAATTATTTTTCAATATACATGTACATGCTTGTATTTGTGATAAAATGCATATGATGTAACTATGATGATTGCTTTAACGAACGATTCCAATTAATGTACGTCATTATTTTCACATAAAGGCGTGAATTATGATAATCACAAACATTTTACTAGAGTTAACTACATATTGATCTTAACTATACATGTATATATAATTGTAATAGTTCTGTGCTATATAAACTGTCATTTTGATGGACACATTTACAGATATAAAAAAGCACATGGAAAAAGTTAAAATAGTTATACAAAAATGAAACAGTACATGCAACACGTACATGTACATAATAATTGTACCATGGTTATATCGGTACTCGTGACACACCGGGTACCCCGGCCGGTGCGGTACGGAGTAAAGCGCCTGATGATGCGGAGTAGAGTAAGCCACAGGGGCACGTTACAAATGTCTGAAATACACACATATGCTATACTGATATGGGTCACAACACACATATGTTGTGACCCATATCAGTATAGCATATGTGTGTATTTCAGACATTTGTAACGTGCCCCTGTGAGTAAGCTAAGTCGCGTACGTACATGTATGGAGGCATTATACTATCTGAAAGTCTCTCACTTGACACGGACACAAAACATAACCGACCATCATGGCCTCGATACTCCAGGAGTTACGTTCACGCACAGGGGCATGTTTATGTGTGTTGTGACCCATATCAGTATAGCATATGTGTGTATTTCAGACATTTGTAACGTGCCCCTGTGGTTCACGTTCACTCTCTGCAGAAAGCGTTAGTGAGCGCAGGGATGTGTAGTGGACTACACATCCCTGGTGAGCGCGCGTAACCAATGGAGTATCGAGGTTACTAACCGACGTACTAGCATATATATACACATACAAGGCCTGCATCGGGACTATTTAAGTTAGTGTTATTTAGACCATACTTAAAACCATTTAAGTTTATTATATTGTTTATCTTTATGGAATTTATGCGTTTTGCTATTAGAGGAAGTTAAATGACCCCTCCTTATATAAGACGTGCTTTAATGGGTGTGGTTTTCCATTATACTTTTTGTAATGATAACCAATTTTATACTTATGGAGCGTGATTTGTGAGTTATTAACGGAGTTGAGGTGCGCTATTCCCCCCCTACAGATACAATATAGACGACAAGCAAGAAAATACATTAGACCCCTGTAGGATTGATATTGTAGGATTTGTATATCTATTTCCTATGCTAATCTGAATTTAGTGTATATATGTGTGTTAATTATGTCAATAAACTATGTAATTTATCATGAAATAGTATTGTAGCAATGTTAATTGCATGTGTATATCGCAGACCTGTTTTATCGTACACGTTTTGTATGTTGTAAGTGTCGTAGGGTGTTCTTCGTTCTATGTAATAAATGACTATCACATGGAACCAGTTTGGTTGTTTATTGATGTTTAGACATGAGGCTTCAATACCAAAAGGATGATCACAGTTATTGTTCAAACAACTTCAGTTTCACGAGGATCCGTTCATTACGGAGTAAATTACATTGTATCAAATCTGTCGGTAAGGAGCGGAACCACTAACTACACACCATGTAAAGTAAATTTCAATGAAAACCAAACATTGATTGCGAATGAGAACTGTTGTCGTGTCAGATATCCGTTATGTACAACACAAATAATACACTCGCCATAGACGGAACCGAATGCAAGCTCTAAAAAGCAACCAATTTACATAATAAGTTTGAAGACGATGTGTAGAAGAAGGAAACTCTGATAGATGCTCAATAATGATACATAATCGTATCAGCGGAACGACAACCCATCAAATTTCCTTCCAGTACACCACACTTGACAGAGCTAGGATCATTACCAATGTCGGAAAAACACCTAATATGCTAAACTGATATGAGTCACAGCATACATAAACATGTCTGAAATTCATATATATGTGTATTTCAGTCTTTTGTAACGGACCACTGTGGGTACACCAAGAAGTAAAGGCAGGGAAAACCGACCTATAGGAGAGCGTCCTCGATATCCAGGGGTTACATTCACTTGCGCTCTCTACACCCCTGGAATATGTCAACCACGTTGTTGATGACACGAGAAGACTTGTTTGACCCTAACCTTTGATGTACATCAAAAGAATATCGCGGTCGCATAACGGTAAAACTTACTGGCTTTAAAGTCGGGCGTTGCTCTACTGTAATCTTCAAAGAACAGTCAAGCGATTGGTCAGGATTGTTTACCTGATACAACTCAAATAGCTAGCCGCGTGCCTTCAATTTTGCTATGACGCATTCCAGGGGTGTATTGGGTAAAGCTGAGCGTAAACACCTGCTATCGAGGATGATAGGGGGGATATTCACTTTGGTCTATATGCAATGATTAGAACCATACGTTAGCACTACACATGTACATTTTCAGATGGCGTGGCTTGGTGGCGGATTCTGAGAAGACGCTATATCAATGGTGGTGACACAGTAACACATTGCACTTCATCCTTTATCCAACAAAAAAATCGATTAATAAGAAGAATGTTCAATCAATCAGGTACAACTTTAATGATGTTGAGATGCAACTGAGAACATGCCCCTACGGGTCTTGATCTAAACGGCAACACTAGATTGGATCTTCACATCTCGAGCCACCGCAAAGTGTATGTACAATGTAATTCAAATAATACTAACTGTTCGGAAGTTTCCTCAGCCAACATCCAGTCAGATCCCCTCAGTGGAAGGATTCCACAGGGCTTTTCTCTACTTAACAAATACAGAAAGAAAGAGTGAGATTAGCTGGGGAGCCACAGTTAGTTCACAATACCCATGAAATCGCAATAAGCGTATATGTACTACATGATGTAACTGTTTGATATCTTACCTCTAAAATAAAGAAACTGATTAAATTACATATATAATAGATAAAACGCTGCATTGGAAACGTATCGCACATAATTCTTACTTCAATTTGTCCTGTACTTCTAGTAGTCGACACAAGATCCGGGACAATGGAATAACATGGAAATGGTTGGTATTTCAGTGGAGATTATTGGGCTTATTGTCGGGTTCGAGGCCTACATGGGACAGTCGCCAGGTACTCGCCGAAGGTCCGTGGTTTTACTCCGGTTTTCCTTTACCACCAAAACCTGGAACGTCCACAAATGACCATAGTTGCTAATAGGACGTAAAAAACAAAAACAAACCAAAACATTCTTTAACTCGATCAATTTTGAGCAAACATTTTATGGACATATCCATTGTATATAGCGGTATAATGTAATATCTTAATCTAAAAGTAAAGTAAAACGGTGTATTTTCTGTTGATTGTACATTCTTAATTGCGTTGAAGCAGTGGTGTTCCGATTAATCGACTAAGTCGAGCATCGGTCAGTTTAGCTAACAAACTGATTAATCGAGTACAAAATCCATGATCGATTTCAGTCGGAATGCTCATGTGTAGATATTATGAAGTTTTCAGTAGACATTTTCCCCAGCTACTTTGTAAAATTGATGGCATCATCACTGCATGACTTACTTTGAGCTCATAGCTCCTAGTTAGGACTATATATTACAGATTCAGTGTTTGAAGAGAGGTATTTCTTAAATGCCTACATTTGTGTAAGTGACTTGCAACAACAGCATGGAGGATTTCACTATGTATTTCTATAAAACAATAATAATAACCAATGGTCGATGATAAAATTCCTAACACTAGTTGAAGGCATAGCTCATATAAATTGATAACACCCACCTAAGAATATATCGTTATATCAGAACAGGATAAGAATATGAGTGTTGCAGAGTAGAAAAGGGCATTCTTTTCTTTCTGACATTATTTTTGCCGAAAATTCAGCGTGTAACTAGAAGTTTTACTAACGTGAGGAATACCAAAAATAGTATCCGTTCTAAATCAAAATGAGTATATTTTCAAGAAATCTGAAACAAATTGTATCTGTATACCTCTTGCTCATGAACTAGTTCAGAAAATGAAATGAAAGTTATTTCCGTGAAATCGTACGGTGAGAAAATTTCAAATTCCTGCCACATTTCTAAACACGGACAACTATCTTTATATTTAGTGTATAAATTACCCAAAAATATCAGAAAGTGTCAAAAAATTATGGAAATGAAAAAAAATATGTATGCTGTCATGCAATTGTTTTTATAAACTGACTTACATGTGTATACTAAGGCGAGGTGTTCCGTAATAACCGGCAAGCTAAAAGTTCGAAGTAATTAAACCTGACTCAACTAAACGAGCCCTGTAAAAAGACACATGCGTTGATAACACACATTGAGTACATATAATGAATCGAAATGTATCTATTGTTTCATTATATTAAAAGAAATTGGTGTTCCATAAACAATTTATCTCTAAAAATAAGTTACGTGTTCAAGATCATTTTGGGGACCTTACATGATGAGAAACGTTACTAACTCCTATTCCCACACAAACAGTACAACCAAACTTACTTTAACACTTAGTGTAGGAACACTATTGGTCATAGTTATAATCTTATTATTATTTTTTCATAATTTTGTCCTTTAGAACTTACCATTCCGCATTTTCCAACACGCCTTCCGCTTAGGATATTATAAAAACAAAATGGCAGCCCCCTGGTGGACATGTTTGAGTGTTTGTTGTGATGTTGTTAACGTCTAATTATATATCAATTTAGAAGCTCAGAACAGAACACAGAATGTCTACAGTCTTTCTACACGTTGGTCAGTGTGGAAATCAAGTTGGCCATGCCTTCTGGAAGAAAGTTGACAAAGATAACAGCGTCAAGGAAAGGTTTGAACACGTACAAGTCGGATAACTGTACTTTATATTTATGTGCATGTATTCAGGGACCTGGCCATTTATAATGCGATAAAATGCCTTATATAAAGCGGTGTCATGAAAAAGTATTCCTGCTCAATTGTCATTTGAACAATGTGTGGGTGTAACTTAGTTCTAGAGTCTTAGCCCAAGTTTCCTCTGTCCCTGACACCAGACTTAGGCATTTTGACAGATAGGCTAGATGTCTGGCGTGAGACATCAACATGTACCAGTGAAAATGTCTGAGTCGGGTATCAGGGCCACAGGAAACTTTATCGGAGATGAAAATCCGTGAGATCTTCCCTCACGCCTTGAGATATGGCATGTATATATATATATAGGTATATCACTATTTCATCTGAAACTGAACAACTCAAAATATGCCATTTTAAAGTGATATATTATTCACCTACAATTTTAGGTTGTATGTAAACACATTCAAACGTACTGTGCCGCTAATTTTAGCTCCTTTTTCTTATCAGCAGGATAAATCTGGCATTTCTTATTTTTCTGTAACATAGCAAAAATTATTTACTTTCCGTTCATAACACACCCAGGATGTGAAACATGTCAAAGTTAAAAAAATAAAATGGAATTCAATTTATTTTCGTTTGTGCCGTAAAGAATTCAATATATTACACATGTTGTTAAGCATGTGCAGACAGGTACAATGGTATGGCCATGTCTATGCAAAAACATGGTCAACCATGCAAGCAGGCAGCCAGAGTCGACAAGATAAAAGGTAAAATCTGGAAGTCAATCAATACCATAATAAAGCGAAAGTGTACTTTAATGAAGCCTTAGACCAATGGAATGCGCTGAAGGTGGAAACAGGGTTTGTCCACCATTAAGTGTTGCGGCCGGGCTTGTATTTGGCAGGTGAGAACTATAGATCAACTAAGAGAAACAATTTGCATGTTTATTGTGTAAAGCACTATATATAGCTATACCTCGAGCTCGCTTTGACCCAATCAAAGATATAGTCTCCCTATCTGTTTGATTCTTCTCTTGTGACATCTCGTGTATGCATAATATTATAATGACGTAAAATGGCCTCAACCCTGCTTCTGGTGAGATAAGTACCCGCTGGGAAAAGGCTTTGTATGCTTAACCATGACATAAATATAAGTCACTGTTTTAAATCTTTTTAAAAAAACAACTTTTTATGGAATTTTATAGCTGCAATATAATTTTAACCACAGTTTTTCTGACCATTGCCGCACTGTAAATTTTAATTTATGTCTTTAATTTAGAGCACAAGTTATCTCCCCCATAGGATTTTTTATAAAAGTTGGCAAGTATGCCCAGTCCAGTTCCGCTACATTTGTTTGACACAGGAAAAGGAGGTGCAGTACGTATCCTGCCCTGAGGTCAGTCAGATTCCACTAAAGCATAAAAGTCAGGATATTCACACTTGACCACAGCTTTTGATACGTCTGGGACTGTCCATCGGAATGAAGATATACATGCCCTTTGGTTATGTCAAATTGGCGAATTTATGAAATGTTGTGAGGAATTCTCTTCCTGGGACAATGTCATAATCTTGTAAGAGAGTGTCCTGAAACTAGAAATCATTTGAGTGAAAGTGTATCTTTTCATGTTTCAGCCATTCCTTTGTACACCCTGATGACAAGCAGAGGTCCATACATGTAGACAGTGAACCCAAAGTTTTACAGAAAATATCCAAGGGTTTGAAAATAAGGTGAACTAGCTAGCACCCAGCAAATAAATGTATTGGTACACAGTTAAACATATGTTATGTATTTAATATGAATATATTGTACATTCCTGGCTAAAACAAAGCCATTTATTTACTGTCAAATAATATTCTCTTGAATATTAAAGACATGATGTTTGATGTTTGACTATTGTGAACTTGTTTATCATTTCTCCTAGAATTGTCTTGTACAGGTAACTCTATTTCATTTACAGAGAGGGAAACCTCATTTGTGGAAAGCAAGGGAGAGGAACAAATTGGGCATTAGGTAATTATACACAGATACACAGATTTATTCTAACAAAATACTTTAAATATGTACAGGATTTACAATCCTTTGATAGTCAGCTTGTAATTTACAGATACCTGATCTTAAATTGTAATTGCATAGTGCATAGCTGATTTTTTAGTTTAAAACAATATTTGAATTATGAAAATGAAATAAAACCAAAAGTACATGCAGTCAAATCTATACTGTCAGGTGGCCATGGAATGGAGAAACATTTCATAATTCCTTGTGTATTGTAGTATGAAATAAGGACACTTTTGATATATTTTGAACACCAGATCAGTCATGATTATTTTGTTATTGTCTCACAGGTTACTATGGTAGCCAAAGGGAGCAACACATATTGGAGGACAGCCTTGACAAGGTCAGAAAGGAAATTGAAAAGTAAGTATAGAGGTCTGTTCATTGTTAAAAGTCGGTGATCAAAGTTTTTTGGTAGTTTTGAAAACTTTTGAAGAACATCATAGCTGATCACCTGCATGCATTTGAAGGATATTAGAATTAAAATTATTTCTACCACAATACGCTGTGTTATTCCACTCTCAGATCATTGTATAAACACGCAGACTGTTAGATAAATATGAGTTATATACCACACGCGGTATATGACCTACACACGTTTTGATTGGTCGAGAAGATGAACTTTGACCGGGACGACTTTTTCCACGCGCTTTTTGCCACAATCTGTTTTGTTTACGTCGTCTGCTGTCAACATTCGACAAATGTTGGTGACTTTGTGAGGTTATGCGGAAAAGGGGGTTATTAAGGCAATATTAAAAGAAGATGATATTTAAAGATTTTATCGCTAGTTTCAGGCAAAATTGCTACAGAAGCTCAATATAGTTTCGACGTCACACCGTCGCGTGTCCAGGTCGTGAAACCAAAACAAGATCTGTCACAGTGTCGGAAAAATATTTCGTTCTCCCAAGGTCCTGTTATCGCTATTTGGACGGTCTGACTATGGCTGGACTGTCACTATAATCGTCAACCATAGAATCGTCACGAAGAAACGTAGGCCTCATATGGTTTTGGACATTGACAGCGATAAGTTCGTCTTCGTCACTTGGCGGGAGGCAGACTTCGTACGATATGCTTACGCGCATATAGTCCGTGGTTAACTTATATAAATTAATGCAATACTGCTACTCCAAATATTTAAAGTCGTTCATCTATTATATTTTTTCATGAAGTCGTTGCCGAAACATTAATTTTGACAATTATTAGATTTGTTGAAAAAAAAAGCCATTTTTGAATATTAATGAGTGAATTTTTACATATGGGTCATATCACTACGCCATCCTTGTCAACAAACACATGTGTGTATGTTATTTCCGACTGATCATGAGATTGTGGTAGAAACAGATCACACGACTCTTGGTTGTGGAGTATGGTATTTATTTCACTCTCGTTAGTTAGTTTTCAAAAGTTACAGAAAGACACTCGCTAAAGCTCGTGTCTTTTGTAACTTTTGAAAATTAACTAACTTGAGTGAAATAAATACCATATTCAACAACAACTCGTTGTGTAACCTCTAATCCAAAAGAGATATTATAAAAGACTTAATTATATATGTATAAGGAAAGAATAATTTTCCTTACCATGATCCTTTGAACAATAAACATTCCAATTTACTATTTGATCACCCCCCCCCNCCCCTTGCTAAGCATTCACCCAGTGCTTTGAAAGAAAGGTTTGCAAGCTTCCCAATTTTGTAACAGGAGAAAGAGAGTTATTATGGTCAGACTGGGGTTCGAACCTGGGACCCTCTGAACTCTAGATGGATGCTCTACCAATTGACTTACCTGGTTGCTGACGATCAACCCAGTTCAGTTCCACAACAATTGTAAATAATACAAACATGCTGGTTTACAGGTGTGATGCTTATAGTAAACAAAGAACATGTTTTTAACAATACAAACATTCTGGTTTACAGATGTGATGCTTATAGTGGGTGTATAATGATGCACAGCTTGAGTGGCGGCACAGGATCAGGTGAGATGTTTTTCTGGTTTGTCTACCCAATTAACCCTTTCAGCACTGTAGACCATAATGGACGTATCCAAATCAATGCATGGTAGAGTTTATTCAAGTCACCTAGGGGTGAAAAGGTTAGGAACCCCTGTAGCACAGCCAAAAAAACTGTTACTTTAAAAAAGGTTTTTTCTCCTTTGAAACAAATTTTATAATTTTCCCCAAATATTTTATTCCCCCAGCCATTTTGTGACAAAAGTTTTAATACATTGTTTCTGAAAAGATTTCAATACCTTGTGGAACTGTTTTGAACAAAGAGTATAATATCGGCTAAAACAGAGCCAGAATGGGAAACCAACCGTAAACCTCCTATCACCTTATGGTGGGTGTTGCCATCTTGTTTATATAATCAACGATTTATTAATCCAAAATGAAATTAACAGGTTACTGTTTGTATAACCTTCAGTGGATTTTCCTATTTTTGTTCAATTTCCAGAGGAACAGGGGGCCTTATCTTTTCAGGATAACATAATGAATACAAGCATCAGCAGTTTAATTGAAGTTGATATGCTTAAATATATTTTCATATTGAATACCAAAAATGGGCAAATATCCACTCCCCAGTTCTGCCTTCTAAAAATGGTTTTCAGTTTCCCCTGGTTTTCGTTGATGGACATGATGTCAATAATGTTAAATGGATTAACGCCGTTGGGGTTATTTTCATAGGATGACAGTTTGATGGTAAGAAATAAGGACCCTGACAAAAAGGGGCTATATAGATTGAGAAGAATCTACAATTGCCTTACATGTACTTGTATAATTTGCTTTATATACATGAGTATTTCCTTGTCCCATTACAACCAACCTAACGACTGTGTTTTTGTATTCCACCGTCAGGTCTAGGGTCGCGTCTGTGTGAGGAGATGAGGGATCAGTATCCCCTAGCCCACCTGATGTCGTGTGCGTTTGCTCCGTGCATGTCTGGAGAAAGTCCGCTTCAGCACTACAACTCTCTGTTGACCTTGTCAAAATTACAGAGGTCAGTCATCATGTTCTCCAAGGTCAAATACACAACAGTAGAACTTACTTATAAATGGTTGATATTATTTTTATTTTCCAGTTTTACTTGATGTAATGATATTATTTTTGTTAAACAACTCTATAGAGAACTTGGTACACATTGTATAATTATGAGCTTACTGTGCCTGTGCAAATGGCATATAACATTTCCAGGGGAAAAAAGTTGTGGATGTTCATTAGTGTGGCAGGAAAAAAAGCAGCATACTTTCACATTGAACCCATGTTCCTATACTTCCTAGTTGGATGCTCTTCCACTGAGCTAAACACAAAAATCCCTCTGGCACAAAGCTAGAAGGGGACGGTAATCCTGTGTACAATTAAAATCTGCCACAGTAGAATCAATATATATTGAAAGAATTTTTGTAACTTTGTGTTATTTTTGGTTAGGTACTTTGACAGTGAACACTTTGGAATTGTTTTTGGAGGATTATTACCTGCTACTTGTCACATGTTTTTTCATGCACACTTTAATAGTTATCATTCTCCTGAACTGACTAAGGGAACTTTACAGCCATCTTGTATGTCTATCTAACAATATCATGGTCATTAATGAAATTTTGAGAATAAACATATAGAAAATGTTATTTTATAATAAAAAATGTCTGGTAATTCATCCTATTGAAGCTCTTCAGATTTTGTATGAAAGTGTATTAACCTTTTTTTGCAGGAACTCTGATTGCGTGATCCTGACACACAATGATGATATACTCTATAACCTTGAGAAGAAGGTAAAGGGCAGTGTGTCATTTGATAACATGAACAACAGTATTGCTGCTTCCCTGTGTGGTCTGTTTCTACCCACAGACTCCCTAACACCTACCAGGTACCACTCTGCATGCTTCAATTACCGCACACTTCTGAATCATTTCCAACTAGTCACATTCTCAAATATGAAATATTTTAACGACAGACATGATTTAAACCTTTGATTTATAAATGATAAGTAAAAATATACATATATGAAATATTTTAACGACATACATGATTTACACATTTGATTTATAAATAATAAGTAATAATATACATTTATATAGCACCATATGTAGTTTGTAAAATTACTCTATAGGGCTTAACAACAAATGAATAATAGTATTTCTACAGTACTAGTGACAGTTATAGATATAGTAGGTAAAAAAAGCATACAAATCAGGGGGCCGAGGTGGCCAAGTGGTTAAGGCGTCTGACATTCTGCTACCACTAGCCCTCCACCACTGGGTCGCTGGTTCGAGGACTATACGTGGGGCAGTCGCCAGGTACTGACCAGAGGTCGGTGGCTTTTCTCTGGGAACTCTGGCTCTCCTCCACCACCAAAACCTGGCACGTCCTTAAATGACCATAGCTGTTAATAGGATGTAAAACACAAACAAACCAAACCAAATCAGCATTATACATTAACGTAGGAGACAATTATATCAATATGCAAATAAATTAAGATATAAAGGATATTGTCTGTGCATGACGTCTGTGCAAAAAGCCTAAAATGAAGCCGTGAAGAGGTATTTGATGTAATATGATGATAATTTCAGATACATGTCATCTGTTTCTAAATTCCAGAGGTGTGAGTATTGGTATGGAGCCCTGGGAAGTGATCCGAGCCACGTGTCCAGTGCCAGGATACAAGTTTCTCCATATAAACCATCTGTCCAGGAGGTAACTACAGTACTGTTATCATGACCGGGTAACCTGTCTTCATCATTTATTCACAATTCTACATTTTACTTGATCAAGGTGTTTTCCTTACACAGGCAAAATCATAAACTATGTCAGTCTATGTCCTATCGAAAAACACCATGTGTTCCCTTAGCGGCGTCGTAATAAAAGCTCTACAGAGCTTATGTTTGTTGTTGACAATTGTACACGACGTTAAATAAAGATTATTATTATTATTATTATTATAGTTTTGTAGCATAAAGGAACAATCTTTGAACTGAGGCCATGCTTTTGTTAATTATGCAGGAATTTTCCTATTCAACCTCAGATTTCTACATGACTGACTATATATATATATGCATCGTAAAAATGTCTGCTTTCATCTGTCATATTTATAAGAAAATAAGTATGGATTATATCATCTGTGTTAGTTTTTGTTCAATATGATGTGTAGTGTTTCAGTTAAATTTTGTTCCTCTGTCTGTTTGTTTTTAACCTATGCTTGCTAACTCTCCCTATTAAAATTGGACGGTTTCAAGCAGTGAATTTGCTTAACTATTTATGTTTCTTAGATCTTGATGATTTCATCCAAAAAAAAAGAGCTAAAAACATGTCATTTAAAAATGTCATTTCACCCTATGGTGTATACAGACATATTTTATTTATGTTTTGAATCCTGAGCATGTGTGTTTTCCCCCATGGAAATTTCAAAAAAATTGGCACAAGTGTGTATTATCCTCATTTTTGAGATGTATATCTGAGAATCTGGGGGGATCATTTGAAACAATAAGGTTCAGTGGCTGAACAAGAGAAGAGTTGATAGGGAGGGTAAAGGTTTTAAAGTGATTGGGTCTTGGTGGTGTTGGTTTCCCCATTAATATGTTGTCATTATTATTGAAGGATTAACTTGAATATATTTTCCATGTTATTGAGATATAACACAAAAAACAGAGTGTACTCTAAATAAACCGTGAAGCGGTTTATTTAGAGTACACTCCGTTTTTTTGTGTTATAGCTCCATAACATGAAAAATATATTCCAAGTCAATCCTTAAAATTTAATCTACTATACACAATGCCTGTGAAAATCCACTTTTATTGATGAACTCTTAGAAATTATTACGCCGCTGTATCAGCCAATCAAAAGCGACTTAACAAACGGCTACAACATTTTTTTACGTTATGGGCTGATAGCATACATTTTTAAGCCAATGAAAATGACTGTTACAAGCAAGATTAAATTATTATGAAATATTCATATGATTTATTTATAGCAAACTTTCCTGGGAAGCACTGATGAGTCAGCTTTTGCTAGGTGTTCGCAGGTACAACACACAAGGGGGCACTGTATCCTTCACTTCCTGTCAGTAGAGTACATGTTGTTAAATCAAGTTTCACTTTTATTTCTTTGTACTCAAAAGTACTGTCCAGAGAGGACTTACATAAAAGGTCCCTCAGTCCATTTATGCATCATTTTTTCAATTATATATTTCATATACTCGGAAATCTACCATTCTGTATGAGAGTACCTCTTGAGATGATGCAGTGTCACATACTAAACTTAAAGTCTGGTAACCTGTCCTATAGAGTAATGATTCTTAGCTTATGTTTTCAATACCAAAGGTTTTTTTTCTGGAGGATATCTCCCTTGCTTTATTTCACCTACATTTACACAACTTTCCACTGCTCCCAATACATACTGGCTTGTTACAAAGGCTGAATGACATAGTTGCATTTAATGCACCTTTAGTAAAACTTTGGAAGTATAAAATCATCTGTTCATGAAGTTTTAATGCTTGTAAAACGTTTTTTCTTATATTCTCTTTTTGTTATTTGGGTTAATAAACTTACAACAGTCAGGGTCCCATGTAAGGTCAACTTACAACAGTCAGGGTCCTATGTAAGGTCAATTTACAACAGTCTGGGTCGCATGTAAGGTCAACTTACAACAGTCAGGGTCCCATGTTAGGTCAACTTACAACAGTCATGGTCCCATGTAAGGTCAACTTACAACAGTCAGGGTCCCATGTTAGGTCAACTTACAACAGTCATGGTCCCATGTAAGGTCAACTTACAACAGTCAGGGTCCCATGTTAGGTCAACTTACAACAGTCATGGTCCCATGTAAGGTCAACTTACAACAGTCAGGGTCCCATGTTAGGTCAACTTACAACAGTCATGGTCCCATGTAAGGTCAACTTACAACAGTCAGGGTCCCATGTTAGGTCAACTTACAACAGTCAGGGTCCCATGTAAGGTCAACTTACAACAGTCAGGGTCCCATGTAAGGTCAACTTACAACAGTCAGGGTCCCATGTAAGGTCAATTTACAACAGTCTGGGTCGCATGTAAGGTCAACTTACAACAGTCAGGGTCCCATGTTAGGTCAACTTACAACAGTCAGGGTCCCATGTAAGGTCAACTTACAACAGTCAGGGTCCCATGTAAGGTCAACTTACAACAGTCATGGTCCCATGTAAGGTCAACTTACAACAGTCAGGGTCCCATGTTAGGTCAACTTACAACAGTCAGGGTCCCATGTAAGGTCAACTTACAACAGTCAGGGTCCCATGTAAGGTCAACTTACAACAGTCATGGTCCCATGTAAGGTCAACTTACAACAGTCAGGGTCCCATGTTAGGTCAACTTACAACAGTCAGGGTCCCATGTAAGGTCAACTTACAACAGTCAGGGTCCCATGTAAGGTCAACTTACAACAGTACTAGTCTGGGTCCCATGTAAGGTCAACTTACAACAGTCTGGGTCCCATGTAAGGTCAACTTACAACAGTCAGGGTATCATATAAGGTCAACTTACAACATTCAGGGTCCCATGTAAGGTCAACTTACAACAGTCTGGGTCGCATGTAAGGTCAACTTACAACAGTCAGGGTCCCATGTTAGGTCAACTTACAACAGTCAGGGTCCCATGTAAGGTCAACTTACAACAGTCAGGGTCCCATGTAAGGTCAACTTACAACAGTACTAGTCTGGGTCCCATGTAAGGTCAACTTACAACAGTCTGGGTCCCATGTAAGGTCAACTTACAACAGTCAGGGTATCATATAAGGTCAACTTACAACATTCAGGGTCCCATGTAAGGTCAACTTACAACAGTCTGGGTCGCATGTAAGGTCAACTTACAACAGTCAGGGTCCCATGTTAGGTCAACTTACAACAGTCAGGGTCCCATGTAAGGTCAACTTACAACAGTCAGGGTCCCATGTTAGGTCAACTTACAACAGTCATGGTCCCATGTTAGGTCAACTTACAACAGTCAGGGTCCCATGTTAGGTCAACTTACAACAGTCAGGTTCCCATGTAAGGTCATATTATACATTGATTGCCCCTACTGTAGGGAAATACGATTCTTAGATTTTCCGAGGTTAAACATGTTTCACCAGGGCAAATCCCAAGTGAAACATGATTAATCGAAGAGAAACAAAGAATTGTGAATCCCTACAGTAATGAAAATAAGTACTTTATTTTGCCGAAAAAACCCAACATAAACCATTGTACAATAACATAGATGATAATATTGACGTGCCATTGTTGTTGTCTGCTCCCGTCATTTGGAACTAGGTTGTGCTGGCTCTTGCCAATTTTGCTTAAGAGGCTCCTAATAAGGGAAATATGATCGGGGAAACTTGAGTGTGCGAGGACAACATGATATTTTATTGCCCTGTCATGTGACCAGTATTATTCAATCATACACGCTGGTTTAAAGATAAGGTATTATAATAGAAATAGATTAAGTTTTTTGGACATGTACATTTCGTGCTAGGTACGAGCAACATTGACCTTAACTGTTACAAGTTAGGCAGTCTCAGTAATGTGGTGGTTGCCAGGGGTGACAGTGGAAACACTTTCCTGTACGCGATGAAGACGTTGGAGAAGAAGGTGAAGGGTGCATACAACTGTGTATCATGGAACCCTTTTCCGCTGGATGTTTGGACAGGTAACGGAATACATACATAGAGTAGAGTACATATATGTGTACGTTATTCTATTGTTTTAATAGAACATAGATTTTCTTAGTAAAGCTTTTCACATTAAAAAAACACGAAGAAAGAGTGCAGATTGATGTGCATTAAAACTTTATAGACGCTACACCTGTATCAAAGCCCGTATCATAGCCTGTATCAGCTCTAAGCACAATATTGACCCAAAAATTATTGTATATTACTGTAACGATCTCCTCATTATTGTCTATCGTGAAGGCATACATCTTTGGATTCGAAATCAGGCAGAATCCCACATAGGTTACTGAAACATGATCTACAATGTGACATCAAGTAATATATCACTTACAATGACTCTAATGACTATAGCCCTGTCAGTGAGTATATGTTCATTGCACATGAAAGAGAAAACGTACTATAACGACTGATTTGCATTTGTTTAATTTTACCCTTCCTGTCACAGATGTGTTTGCTCAGCCTCATTGACCTATCTTAAGAAAAGTTCATTCTCCTAAGACAAGGTTACATTCACTGCACTCTTTCAAAATTTCCTTTTTTCACAGCTGCTGCCAATCCGGCCGGACCTAAGGAGTCTTCATCCATAACTATAGCATCCAACCATGGCACTGTTGTTGATTATCTGGAGACTTTGGTCCAGAGGTCAAAGGTTATGTACGATGCCACTGCGTACATTCACTGGTACAAGCGTCATGGATCAGGGCATGTAAGTGTGTATGGGCTAAAGATTATAATACTGTTAATCAGCTTAATTGCGAAAAATGCAAATTGTGAAACTTTGTTCAGAATCAAATCCACATGTCAATATAAAAAAAACATTTGGTCTATTGTTAGTTTGACTTGCTGATTAAGACACTGAACATGTTATTTAGTGTTCTAATATATTGTTAAAAAACATGAATTGGCAATTCACAGTTATGCTTCTGTCATTTTTCTTTTAACAGTTTGACAACATGTCTGTCAGTAACAAAACAATTATGCCTAAATAAACGTGGGTTTTCTCCAGGTATTCAAGTTTACTTACACATTAAAACCCCACAGGTGCTAACATACGGGCCAACAAGAGTGATTTATATATAAGTTGAAATAAGATATTTTTATTTCATATTTGTTGTAAAATAAATAAAGCATTGCCTCCAATACTCCTCCCTGTCAGGATGGTGGTTATCCAAGTTGGCGGTGTCCAGACCCCTCACACACCATTAACTCACTCTCCCCTGAATGAATTAGAGGAGTTCAAATGTGTCTTCAGGGGTGAATGAGTTAAATTTAATATTTAGGTATATGACAATTGCTAGACAATCTCTTTCTTTTTTATAAAGATACTTAAATTGTATGAAGTACGTTTATTTGATTTTCTTTATGTAATTAAATTGATTGAATAACATTTTGGCATTCCACTTAATTTTGTATTGAATATTTCCAGGAGGATTTTGAAGAAGCATTTGAAACAATACATGAGGTTATTGCGGATTATAAGGGTGCTCTGAAGTGAGAATTCAGAAAACACTCTGTAATGTATGGAAACGTCAAACAAAAGCAAGCAGGTAACAGAATAGATTTATTTCATATCTTCTCATAAAAATCTTATACCAAAACTCCTGAATCTTCTTGCATTATTAGTTTTAACTTTGAATTTTTTAGTCTCACTTCTCTTAGTAGTTTCTGATTACGTACCATTCATCAATGGTTGGCTACTGGTCTATTGAGCTATTCAGTATTCACCGAAACAATAACAACATCAGTCAAAGATGATACAGGACATGTACACCACACAGTGTGATGTTATTTCATACAGTGAAATTATTGACAAAGATAAACCATGGGCCTTGGGTCACAATAGTAAATTATAGAACGGCTTTTATGACCTGGTACCATTTCATATACTGTTACCAGTTTTTAGGAAAATATTTACAAGCAGATGTTCTGATTTTTTTCGCAGGTAGGTTGACCAGAATCCAAGCATTCTGCTAGCTGCAGGTCACAGCTTTGCGAGAGGACATCAGACAGTGTTCACCAGTGCTCCTACTGCAGTTAACCAATATTCTTGCCTGAACCAATTCATTGCCAAGGACTTGCACTGTATAGGGAGAAGCATTTGAGCCAAGGAAGAGCTGGAGAAGCTGACACCACGTTAGCTGATTAAACCAGTGTGATAGACTTAACCCTGAATCATTCTACCTAGTAGTCAGACTGTTTTCAATACAACTAGATGAAACTTGTTTTGAAACAAGATAAACACAAGAATCGGTGTCTCTTCGTTAAAATTACGTGAATTTTTGTGCTAGAAAAACATCATTGTAAAGAAAAGCTTTTATGTTATTTGTGTTACAGCTTACTGATTTGAACTGTAAGGCTAATAATAATTGAAAAAATCACTGATTAAATATCTTAAACTTCCAACTTGAAGGCAAACGCAGAGTTCATGAAATAAGCATCATACCTGTATAGAATAACTCGAGCAGAACAGCATTCTGCAATGTAATAACTCTAGCAGTACAGCATTCTGCAATGTAATAACTCGAGCAGAACAGCATTCTGCAATGTAATAACTCGAGCAGAACAGCATTCTGCAATGTAATCACTCGATCAGAACAGCATTCTGCAATGTAATAACTCGAGCAGAACAGCATTCTGCAATGTAATAATTCGAGCAGAACAGCATTCTGCAATGTAATAACTCTAGCAGTACAGCATTCTGCAATAACTCGAGCAGAACAGCAATCTGCAATGTAATAACTCGAGCACAACAGCATTCTGCAATGTAATAACTCGAGCAGAACAGCATTATGCAATGTAATAACTAGCAGAACAGCATTCTGCAATAATTCTAGCAGTACAGCAATCTGCAATGTAATAACTCTTGCAGAACAGCATTCTGCAATGTAATAACTCTAGCAGTACAGCATTTTGCAATGTAATAACTAGCAGAACAGCATTCTGCAATGTAATAACTCTAGCAGTACAGCATTCTGCAATAACTCTAGCAGAACAGCATTCTGCAATAACTCTAGCAGATCAGCATTCTGCAATGTAATAACTCGAGCAGTACAGCATTCTGCAATGTAATAACTCAAGCAGTACAGCATTCTGCAATGTAATAACTCTAGCAGAACAGCATTCTGCAATGTAATAACTCGAGCAGTACAGCATTCTGCAATGTAATAACTCGAGCAGTACAGCATTCTGCAATGTAATAACTCTAGCAGTACAGCATTCTGCAATGTAATAACTCTAGCAGAACAGCATTCTGCAATGTAATAACTCTAGCAGAACAGCATTCTGCAATGTAATAACTCTAGCAGAACAGCATTCTGCAATGTAATAACTCGAGCAGAACAGCATTCTGCAATGTGATTTATTCACTTTGCTTGTGATATTTGAAAATAAGTTATAGTGGAGGATTTTGAATGCAAGGTCATTCTCATTAAAATTGGAATAACTTGGATAAATTTGAGTTACTTGAATTGCGCACTTTTCAGGAAACCCATTCCAGAAATTAATATGATAAGGAGAGGCGGGAAGGAAGATAGGTGGCATTGTTTCTTTGATCTCTACCACCCACATCTATATTTCGTAGGACCCGCCATAGAAATATAAACAATTATTTTCACTCTCCCTCACCCGACCCACACCTTCGTCTATATTATCAAGTGCGAGTGCCTTCGTTCCTCCTACCCAACTTGACCAACCCAATAAAGCCATACAGAGTGTAGTATTTATATATGTTGAGTTTAGTTAACTTTATTTACCGATGAAGGATCTATGAAGATCCTCTACACCGGACTCAAAATCATTACAGCAAAATATTTGACAATAAACGAATGTGACGTTACCTGGATCATTAAGGTATCTCGGATCTGCAATCATCCAGCTGGTTTACCCAATGTTTATAGGTACAGTTTTGGATGTAAAAACAACTTGAGAATACATGTACTGAAATGTTAATTATGGGATCCATTCAATACATTCTGTCAATAATGTCTGGAATCACAAGTATGTTGTATACATTCTTTTAGCCCACCTGGCCCGAAGGGCCAAGTGAGCTTATGCCATGGTGCAGCGTCCGTCGTCCGTCTGTCCGGCGTCTGTCGTCCGGCATCAATATTTTACTTTAAACAACCTCTTCTTAATAACTAAAATGCCTAGGGTGATGATATTTGGCCAGAAGCAAACTATGATAAAGGGCTCCTAAGTATGTTCAAATAAATGCCCTTCTCCTGTTTTCAAGGTTACAGGGGTCAAATATGTTAAAAAACTTTAAACAACTTGTTCTGAATAGCTTAAGAGGCCTAGGGTTAAGATATTTTGCCAGTAGCATGCTGGGATGAAGGGCTACCAAGTTTGTTCAAATGAAGGACCTTTACTTATATTCAAGGTCACAGGGGTCAAATATGTTAAAAACCTTTAAACAACTTGTTCTGAATAACTTAAGAGGCCTAGGGTTAAGGTATTTTGCCAGTAGCATGCTGGGATGAAGGGCTACCAAGTTTGTTCAAATGAATGACCTTCGTCCATTTTCAAGGTCACATGGGTCAATTGTTTTAACAAATCTTTGAACAACATCTTCTGAATAACTAAGAAGCCTAGGATAATGATATTTGGCCAGTAACATGCCAGGATGAAGGGCTACCAAGTTTGTTCAAATGAATGACCTTTACTTATTTTCAAGGTCACAGGGGTCAAATATGTTTAAAACCTTTAAACAACTTATCAATAACCAAAAGTCTTCGGATGATGATATTTGACCAGTAGCATGCTGGGATAAAGGGCAACCAAGTTTATTTAAATGAATGATCTTTACTTATATTCAAATATGGGGTCAAATATGTTTAAAACCTTTAAACGACTTCTTCTAAATTAGCCAAAGGCCATTGTGATGATATTTGGTCATTAACAGGCTGGGATGAAGGGCTACCATTTTTTTCAAAATGAATGACCTTCGCCCATATTCAAGGTCACAGTGGTCAATATATTTTTGAATCTTTAAATGACTTGTTCTGTATAACCAATAGGTCCAGGATTATGATATTTTGCCAAAAGCATGCTGGGTTGGAAGACTTTAAACTCTGTTCAACCTAATGTCCTTGTTCGACATTCAAGTTCGCAGGCGTCATATGTTTAAATCTTTTAATAGGTTCTTATGAATCAAACACTGATATTCTGCCTGTAGCTGTATTTTAGTCCACTTTAAAGATTACAAGTGTGAGATGAATACCAGGTGAGCGATTCAGGCCCATTGGGCCTCTTGTTTTATATTCCTTTGTTGCATCACCCCTTAATGTAGAAACGCACTTTTGTAATCGTACCATCCATAACGCAAACGCAGCGCAGTAATCTCACCTTGGTGTACTGGCGAGACACTGGAATATTGCACTACCTAGAGCACTCCTACAGGCAAACCGTTTCCCAGATTTTTTGGGATGAGGGATTGTCGTGAATAATGCCGTTCAACCCTTACTTGATGGCTTTCTCATGTTGAATCTTTTGATAGACTGCAGTACTTTGTCTCTGTAAAGCTTGGCAGTGCTAGTTTTCCTTTCCTTGCACGGTATCTGAATCACAGGTCCACTAGAATTGAAAACAAATGGCATATAAAAAAAACATTCTTGGTGCTTTTTATACGTCTTGCAATCACTGGCCTTTCTTGATTTCGCGACGGAAATGGCTGGTTATGAATGCGCCTCTGGGGTTCGAAGTAGTAACTCGGATAGTTTTGGCAATTACCGTACCTTTTCAATAGATTTTTTGCACATTTCAAACGTTTGACATTTTGTTCAGATGTCAGCACAATTTTCGTTATAAGCACTTTGTCAGAAAGTGATGTGTATTTCTTTCTGAAATACCAACCGTATGAGCTATCTCAGAAACAGTATAATGACCATCGTTCTTATTTATTGCTTTCACAGCAGCAATGTTCTTCTTTGATGCTGTAACAACTGGCCTGTCTTGCCCTGTGTCCTGTTTGATGTTAACAGTTCTCAATGTGACGGAGAAGTGCATTTTTATGCTGCACAACTCTGTGTACCTTGTTTTGGTGATATATGTAAAGTACACTGTGCTTTAATGTAGGTGCGTATTGCAGTTTTAGTCTCAACCGTCATTTTAGCATTGATAAGTACAAAATGTAGCCGCTACTCACGAGCGCATGTTCTTGTCGGATGGTGTCGAAAGTTTGCACGTGCATTGTTCTTTAAATGCATGTGCAGTATGCCACGGATCAAAGCTATTGTATTGCCCGTTAGTACGAGAGCTGTGTGGTGACAGGATTCATTGAATGACCCTCGTGAATTGTAATACGGGCCCAAAATAAATAAAACGAGGGAAAATAATGATCAAAGGGTCTTCTACTTCATCGACGACACTTGCCATGTAAAGCTTGTTCAAATCGAAGTTATGTCACGTCTCCATAGCGAGAAGCGGTAATATAGTGACAACTAAACAACACCTATAGCTATATGACATAGCCAAAATGACGCGTGTCGCTACCGACTCGAACCATAGCGTCCGGGACGGCTGGTATCGGATTTTAGAGAGTACCTTAGACTATTAATACAGATATGGCTTATTTCGTCTCCAACTAAAAAAACACCAAAAAACAACAATCAGGAAAAACATTTTCACAATATAAGGTGAATGTAATTTAATGTAATTTTTTTTCTAAGAACAAGACTTTGTTCTAATTTAAATTCTTTCAAATTTATTCTCCATAACATTTGACATGAGAAATTCTTGAGACCAGAGAATAAAACTCTTTATACAGGAAGGGTGGTCCCTCTCGGAATAAAGGAGCAGAGTTCGAAAGGAAAATGGGGATGCATCTACTCCTTAACCATGAAACGGATCTTGACTTTGTTTGGATTATGTCATCTCTTTACCGAGGGAACTCAACTTTGTATACAAGAATGACGTGGCCTCTTTGGGACATGGATGCGCGGGACAAAAGGAAAAATGGTTTTAATATTTGAAAGATCATTTTTTTCAAGAATGACTAAAAGAATAATTTATTCTATTGGCTTAGGGCAATTCTGGGACAAGGGATTTTCATTTTTCATATATGAAAGGTGGCGCTCCACTGTGGGGATCCTCGATACTCCAGGGTTTACGCTCACTTTCGCTCCCTGCACCCCTGGACTATTGAAGACAGACGGTTAGCTATTTGATTGGTATCAGGAAAAAAACCGGACTGATCGCTAGACTGATACCTGCCCTTTGATGATTACAGAGGAGCGACACCCGACCTCCGCAGGTTTCTTTTATTGTACATCAAATGATCAAACTTATCTTCTCGTCTCATCCACAAGGTGGTGCACACTGAGCCTTCGATTTTGCTGTGAAATATATATTCGAGGGTGCAGAGAGCGAAAGTGAGCATAACCCTGGAGTATCGATGATGCTCTGTGGGCAGATGAATGGGGTCTCGAGTACGGGTGCATGATGCTTTACCTAGTTGAAGGCGTTTCAATTTTGTTGTAAACACACAAGGAGCTTCCTGTTTTGGTAGGAAAGGGACACGCTCACAGGAAAATGACAAAAGATGTATCGTTACTTCTTGTCTAACTCTAATATTACATATATCTCATGACTAGTTGTCAGCTATGATAATACTAATTGGAGGTTCTTATATACCGCTTTAACACAACCTAGTTCGTAGGTCGTCACAAATTATGAACTAGTTCTGAACTGATTTTGCAGGTTATTTACATTGACCTACGTTCAAGGCCGTCGGGATCAAATGTGTTAAAAATCTCAAACAGTTTCTTCCCACTAGCTTATTTAACGGCAAACGTTAATACTATTTTGACAGTAGAATGATCGAATGAAGGACCATTATGTTTGTTTAAATGAATGTTGTTTGTCTATCTTCGGGGTCATATGTGTGAAACTGTTTAAACGAGTTACCCAGAGGCCTACCGAGTATGCGGATATTTGTTATAAAGCTTGATTGATTAAAGGACTATCACGTTTGTTGAGATGAATAGTTCTTGGCTAATTTCAGAATCACCGATGGAAAAATAGAAAAAAAAAAAAAAAAAAAAAAAAAAAAAATACTACAGGCGATTTCAAACTCACTGTTTCACTAACATCTCGCCTTGTTAACACCATGTTGAATATTGAAAGGAAAAACAATTGGAGATAGTTCAATAGTATAAGACTCTTTCATGCCCAGGGTGTAGGATAGGGAAATTCCACCCGAGGGGTTTACAAATTTGGTAAAACCCGAAGCTGTTTGCACAGAAAAAGCAATCACATCTTTCTAAAGTGTACGGTAAATATATCGTAACAGGTGTTAATTTCATCACGTCGCCTTTTCCGCGTGAAATGGGGTGTAAGATAGAAATGTCCTACATCCCTTTCTTAGCCTGGACTAATAGATTCTATCACGCTTCGAAAAGTCTCACTCGGAGTCAGAATACAACACCTTCGTTCGTTTCGTTTTCGGGGCTGACATCGTTGTGTTATTGTTAATAGTAATGGTAAATGTTCCTTCAGTGATTGTTGTGCCTTGGAATATACTCGGGATTTCACATTCATTGGATTTACGAACGCTTTCAGGCTCGCACATGGACATGCTATTGTGCGCTGTAGTCACATGTGTAATGTGTGTTGACTGTTTGTTTGACATCGGCCGATGCGAGGTAGGTGCACTAGACCCAGTGTGTCGTCCTAAGTCCGTTTGTATGGTTTCATTTGAACGATTGGTCATTGAGAGAAGAGACAACATCCTATGTTTTTGTTTATTATTGACTGTTCTGTAATTATCCAATACATGTGTATAAAAGTGATGATGTAATCAGTTTTGGTAAAAGTGCACAGAGTCGCAGGTCATGTTGAAAAAAGTGCGTTGTCTGTGACATAATAGCGCGTGCCAGCTGTCTTGATAGAGGTAGATCAAGACAGGTTTATATTTTCCCTACCAAAAACGGGAATGTGCGGGAGAAAGGTCTTTCTCTTACCCTGGACAGGTGTATCCGCATTTTTACCGGTGTAAGATTTCCTTGTCTCACCCTAG